TTATTTATATGTGGTACTAAGAATCGAACCCAGTGTCTCGCACATGCCAGGCAAGTGTGCTACTGCTAAGGCACAGCCACAGCCCTCTTGCCAGTATTTTTATAGTAACATCCTAATGAATATGGGATGATAGCTTATTGTAGTTTCAATTTATATTTCTGTGATGATCAGTGATGTTGAGCATCTTTTCATATTCTTGGCTATTAGCATATTCATCTTTGGATAAATGTCTTTTCAAGTCCTTTGCCTGTTTTAAAAGCAAATTATTTGGTTTTGTCATTGTTAAGTTGTAGGAGTTCTATGTTCTAGATATTCTGATCACTTGCATGAGTTTTAAAAATTTTCTCCCATTGCATAGGATGTCTTTTCCCCTTGTTGGTTGTATTCCCTGATGCACAAAAAGTTTTTATTTTTAAGATTGATATAGTCTCACTTATCTATTTTTACTTTTGTTTCCTGTGTTTTTGGTGTCATATCCATTACTTAATAGTATATACTTTTGGTAGCAAAAAGCCAGTTACATTATTTCTCTGAGAAATGAACCATCTTCTTATCTTCTGAGTGGGTAGCCCTGCCAATAGTACATATTTTCTTCTTTAAGAGGATTTATCCCTTCTCTCTGGCCTCCTTGAGCCTGATAATATCCCTTTTTTCTCCTTCCTGCGTTAGTTCCCTTCTTTTTTGTCCTTCTTTCTTTATTATAGACTTATTTGTGTGTAAGCAGAAGGACCATGTGTAAAGGAGGAGAGAGCTCATGAGGGGTGACTGAAGTTAATGAGTGATTTAAAATATATAATCACACGTGTGCATTATTATTACACACACAAACACTTTTATAGATAAGACAACTTGTTCTCTTCAAACTATTGTAGTGCTCTACATTTTCTTGGACAGTGCTGCCATTACTCAAAATAGTATGATGTCAGTGGGGAGAGAGGATTTTTTTTCCTTTGGAATGACTTAAGAGACAATTTATGGGGCTGGGGTTGTAGCTCAGTGGCAGAGCACTTGCCTAGCACATGTGAGTCACTGGGTTCAAATATTTTAATAATTCATGTTTGATGACATGGGAAGGCAATGTGGGCTTACCTGGATGAAGGTTTGGTTTAGAATAGAACAGATGGCTGAGGAGGGAGATTAGTCCCAGTGGTTGAAGACCTTGATTGGTAAGCTAAGGAATTTGGATTTTGTTCTGTAGACACTGGAGAGTGTTACTGAAGGTTATGTAAGCAGACCGACATGAGCTAGGTGCCCAACTCTACAGTTACTGCATGGCCTTGGCCTTAAGCAGTCCACTTAACTTTTCTAGACTCTATAGTCCTCTTTTTTTAAAAAAAGAATTGGACCAGATGATCTTGAATATTGCTTTCCTTTCAAAAGTTCTATAAGTCTGTAACTTAAAGCAGTATTTTATTAGTTAAATGATCATAGACAAATTTCTTGAGCCCCTTTCTTTATAATGTATCCTTTGTCCTATCAGCAATCTTAGTCCCGTTAGGTAGATATAAGTTAAGCTATATCACCATTTCAGGAAGAGTAAAATCTCCTCCATATGCTTTCTAGTAGCACATGTATTAAAAAATGTTTAACTTAAACAATAAAGAATTTGTCAGAACAACACAGGTTTACCAGAAGGCATATTTATGATTTTTTGATGGTGCTGGGGATCGGCTCCAATGCCTCACAAATGCTAGGCAAGTACTCTACCACTGCATTACATCCCCAGCCCCTAAAGTCCATACTTACTAAATGCCAGATTTTTCTCAAATCATTTGCCTGTCACCTTACGTAGACTCTGTCTGCTTTTGTTGTTGTTCCTGTTGTTAGGGAATTAATTTCAAAGCAATTTATGATTGTTATTTTTATCATGAGTTTTTCTAAGAACTTTCTGTGTACTTCTAGAGTCATAGTCTAGGTTCTGCTCAGAAGCAGCATCTGAAATAAGAATTTGGGGTCAAATATTGTATTTGGGAGGTGATCCTAGGACACTTTAGAAGGGGAAGTGAAAGAAAAGTAGTAGAGAATATGGTAGGGAGCAGATTGCCTCTGTGGGAAACTAAGTGTACTATTCTCTCAGGGAACTTGGGAGACTCTATAGAACATGCTTCAGTTGTCTCACCCAAGGGGAGAAGCTGGGGACTTATCTGCTAACTCCCTTCCACCACTGGTTGCAGGCTGCTCTGGAGGTTGGAGAATGGCAAGAGCCACAATACCCATAAAGTATGTGTGCCCAGGAAAATGCATGTGCATGCCCTCATTGTCTGCTACCTTCACTATTAACATTGGAGTTGACATTTTTATCTTTAATGCTTTCTTTATCTCATCAGTCGTTTTTCCTGAAATACTAATTTCTGGTGAACTTCTGAGTCTTTCTGCTTTCTCTTTGATGTAGAACCATGGGAGAATTTCATTTTAGTTTCTCATAGTGGTTTGTTCTGCTCAGCAGAAGACACCAGAAACCATCTGCAATATGCTTTAATGGGCTCTGATTTTGAGAGGTATTGATGCCTTAGTTGCTTGGCTACTCTAAGATTTTTATTTGCTGAGATATATTTCTCTATTCAAAAGTGTTTTAAGCCAGGTGCAGTAGCATGCACCTGTAGTTCCAGCTAGTTGAGAGGCTGAGGCCTCTGGAAAAAAAAAAAAGAGAGACTGGGCTTGTAGCTCAGTGATAGAATGCTAGGCATGTGTGAGGCACTGGGTTTGATCCTCAGTACCACATAAAAATAAAAAAGGTATTATGTCCATCTACAACTAAAAAAATTTTTTTAAAGTTTTATTTCTTTAAGTATATTATTGACCAGAAAACTTTTAGAAGTACCTCTCTGAATTATGCACACACTGGGCTTCTCAGAGCAGCTTGAAAGAATCGTTGTATAGAGAAAATTCCCACATGATCCCTCCTTTAAGAACAGATGGAAAATGTTGCCTCTTTCATTGATCCAAAGAAAACATCAATGCTAATCACCAGAGGACTTCTCTAAGGTGAGAAAATACCTATTATTAGTTACCTGTTACCCATTCTTTTAGCAGTGTGTTAGTGTAGATCCTGTAGAGTGACCTCAGATGACACACTATTATTTTTAACAATATTGCTATTTTTGTAGTTTTGAGAATAGCTGCCCTGCAAGTCAGATGAAAGGAAGTTGTGACCAGTGGCTAGCCCATTAGGGGATTATTAACTGCATGCAGGGGTACATAGGAAAAGACTCAGGGAACATGTTCTGGTTGTCTTATACATTTGGGAGGGGGGTGTGAGGATGCACAGTGGATAGTGCATGCCTATCAGGAGATAGCTGCTGTTTAGATGTTTAGGGGAAGGTGTATTGGAAGGCACTAGGCTCTGGAAAGCCACTTGGAATAAAAGAGGAAACTTGAAGAAGAGCTTCTAAGTTCTTCTGGGTAGGAGGTCCTTGGTTAGGCAGAGCCTTTGAGAAACTTTGCAGAAGAGGAAGAGAAATGGCTCAGTGTGGCTTGGCCTCACTCCCACCCCAACTCTGCTCCTCCAGGTTTGCCATTCTCTAACTACCCTCACCTTCTTTTAGTCTGAAGAGTGGTAAGATATTTGCATCTGTAGGTATTTGAATATGCTGTTTCATCTGCCAGGAATACTCTTTCCTTCATTGCTTACCTGATTGCAATGATCATTCAGGGTCTAGTATTAGTGTCCTTTTCTGAGAGAAGTGGCCATTGCAAAGAATACTGTACCTGAAAATGATATTCCTGTCATTAATCATTCTCTTAGCATTCATGTTTTTGTGTATACTTGTTTAATATCTATCATCCCTCCCACTAGACAATGGTAAATTGTGGTGTAGAGTTGGGAGATACCCATATAATGAGTGTCTGGGTGTTATGGTTAAATTCAGAGTTTGGCAGTAGAAGGTTTTTATCTTGATTATTGGGTCACAGTTTCTTGCTTCTTTTGCAACTCATAATTTTATGGTAGTGTGTACATTTTAATGAAAAGAACTGGAGACTGAAGTATGATTTTGTTTTGCTATTCTGAGTACTGGAACCCTTTCACAGGCTTGGTGATTAGCATATGAGTTTTTTTAATATTTTATTTTTTTTTAGTCATAGTTGGACACAATGCCTTTATTCCATTCGTTTATTTTTTTATGTGGTGCTGAGGATCAAACCCAGAGCCCTGTGCGCATACTAGGCGAGCACTCTACTGCTGAGCCACAATCCCAGTCCAGCATATATGATTTTTAATAATTCTTTTATTTATTTATTTTTTTAATTGATGGTGATTTTTCTTTTTAAGTATATGAAGTAACAAAGCATCATACAATTAATGGCAATTTAGATTTGATGGTTTATGGTACATGTTTGGAATGAGGTGGTTGACTTATAAGTCTGTTTTGACTTAAGGTACTTTAGCATTAATCATTGATGTCTTGGATAAACACAATATTTTCGGTATAATAGGACAGACTGAGTCAGGAACCATACAGTAATTATTCATGTTTCTGTTTATACATAAAGGACAACATAATTTCACAAACAATCAGAAAATAGTATAAAAAACTTTAATAAGAAATGAACAAGATCATAAAATATTACATATGATTTTAATGCAACTACCTCAATATTTCAATATTTGTTTGCTAAACAAATTACATAACACAAAATGCTAAATAATTCTATTAATATTTGACTAGGACATCTAAATAAATTAATGGAAATTCAAATTGTCTAGTAAGGTATGTTTAACCTTATTTATTAATACTATGTAAAGTATTGGTGAATTCATGGTGAATACAACTTAAGCATTTACAGAATACTATTTATGTCCAATATTGACATATTAAATCAAAGCATCCCAGAGAACTCAGTATCAGGTTATAAAGAAGCTTTATTTAGCTCGGTGTGGTGGCACATGCCTGTAATTTCAGCGACTCAGAAGGCTGAGGCATGAGGATTGCAAGTTCAAAGCCAGCCTCAGATATTTAGCAAGGCTCTGATCAACTTATCAAGACCTTATATCAAAAGTTAAAAAAAAAAAAAAAAAAGGTGGAAGGGAGCCGGGGATGTGTCTTGACAGTTAACTGCCCCTGAATTCAATCCTTAGTATCAAAAAAGAAAACAAAAACAGCTTTATTTATCACTCTATTAACAAATGCTTTAGTAATTAAGTAGAATATTAAGGCCATAGATCAAGTTTCATATAAAAGGACTATTACTGTTCACTTAGTGAGAAAATTCATTTTCATGCTGTGTCATAGGAGGCTGAAGGTACCTTATAGACACAAAATAGGTAAATTAAAAAACTGCTTTTTTCCTCTTCAGGCTTCATTTTTTTACTGGAAGGAGATTTGGGGATGGAGTACTGAATTTGGTTGGAGTTAACATATTTACACTAAAATTAAAAAATTTTGAAGAACAAAATGAGGCATATAATTTTACTCTATAGCACAAATCTTTGCTAAACTAAAAATAATGCTTTAAACAAAAATTTTGAAATACATCAACGACCAATAAGTTTCAAACAAAATGTAGTTATCAAAATATTTAACTGTCCTTTATCAAGCTTCAACAAATACATTCAGTTTTCAGTGTCTGAGCAAATCAATTTTAGTTTCTTCATAGTCCTCCATCTGTCTTTTAACATGACACTTGTTCGGTTGTTGAATTTATAATGTGATAGTATTTTAGACCAGTTTCCCTCTCCATACTTCCTCACACCAGATCTCAAATTCTTGTCTTCTTCCCAAAGCCATGCCTGTTTCCTAGGTCGCTGTTTTTTAGGAGTTTTGGGTTGTTTGTTTGAAACATATACTCTCTTGCTTTCAGTGATTCTTCTGTTTTCTTCTTTTTCCTTTCCACTTTGAAGAGTTTCTACTCTCTCCTTTTTCTCATTAAAGTTTTGCTGCCAGCTTCCATGTTTCAATTTGGATATGAAGAGATTCTTGTGAGACCTCAATAAGGATATTGTACCCTCTGAGGATTCAGTTACCGCAGACTGTTTGTCACTAACACTTTTTACTTTATCCAAATTGACTTCAGTTTCCATTTCAATATCATTACCATTAAGTTTATCTTGAGAAGTTATTTTTCTCGATTTTTCACTTTCCACTACTTTTGCTGCTGCCTTCATTAGAAAAGTTGATGATTTTTCATTAAGCACATAATTCACATAACTCTTAATTTTCTTCATCATGTGGTTGTAGCTGAACGTGTGAGAATTTGCGTCAAATATTCTTTCAAAGACTTCTTTTGCTTCCTTAAAACTGCCATTTTCCATACAAACAGCTATAGCCTGAATTTTAATTAAATTCTCTATTTCTTCATGAAGTTTGTCATGTTCTTTTTCAATTGAAGCCCAAATCATCAGGGCTGATTCCAAGGGTGTAATTCGCTCATCATTTTCAAACTGTGCGTCAAGGGATTTTCCTGCTGCAATTCTTGTCAAAAACTGACATATGTATACAGTTTTCAATTGATAAGTTGTAAGACTGGATAATCCATGAATTATGGCTTCGGCGCTGTCGCGGGTCCGGTGGAAGTCCTCCGAGCGGCCGTCGCGGAAGGCCTGGCAAAGAGAAAGGCAGAGGAAATCGAGCATCCAGCCAGCAGCCACTGCCTCGCCCTCCGCCACCAGGTCCGCGTCTTCCCCCTCTTCTTCCTCCTCCTCCTCCGCCTCCCCCCCCTCTTCCTCAGGGGCCCCCAACTGCATCTGACAGTCGGTCAGTTCCTGGCACTCAAACTGTTCTAGTTCCTCTCTGGCCCTCTCCATCCCTTCTCGATGGGAGGACTCTTCATCCTCCCCGTCCGCACAGCCCCGCGGGCTCGGAGCCGCTGAGGAAGCGGACTTTAATAATTCTTTTAGAGACTGCACTGTACTCTTTTTTTTTTTAAGAGAGAATTTATTTTTTAGTTTTTGGAGGACAACAACATATTTGTATGTGGTGCTGAGGATCAAACCTAGGCCTCACGCATGCCAGGTGAGTGCGCTACTGCTTGAGCCACATCCCCAGCCCAAGCACTGTACTCCTAACTAGATTTAGTTCACCTGTGATTAGCTCAACCCCCAACCTCCTGTCCCTCTGCCACCTTTTCAGTCTTGTCAATATTTGAGCTATTTCTGATATCTTTGGATTCACTTCTTGCAGGGCCTGTAGTCCAGGTGCTGTGGTGGTGCCTGCGATGACTTTCTGGTTTTGAGCATCTCCTTCCCTGTGGTTTTCTTGGCAAAATGCAGGGGGTGAATATGGGGAAACAGCATTGTTAGGCCAAGTGATTTGTTGTTGCTTAGGGATGCTTCAGATGGTGTCCCATGCTGTTGTCTAAAGATAGGATAATTTTATCCTTGTCCTTGCAAAGTATCTCTTTCTATCAAAGGCTCCCTCTTCCAGTCATAAGTACCCAGAATGATAAGCAAGTATGGAAACTTTTGTAGCACTGGAATTTAGTACTTCAAGCTTCCTTCCTTCTCCTTGGTGTGATTGTTGTATTGTCTTGAGTTTTTATTGTTACCACAGGAGTGAAGGCATTTCATATCTCCTATATCCTAATTGAATCTCTTACAAGGTTTTTGGGAGTGATCCAAGACAAAATTTGTTCTAGAAAGGAGACTGATCTAGTGAGACATCTTACTTGTTAGTCTCGGGACTGGCTTGGAAGAAGGTTTATTGGAAGTGTGGTTCCTGTGGTATGGACTTCCTCTTATGGACACATAGTATAAAAAAAGGTAGACAGGAAGACAGGATGGTAAGTGGCAAATCAATGTTCTGGCAGACCTAAAGCTCACCCTAATTCTGTGAGGTGAGCAAAGTCAAGCCTACTTTTCAGATGAAGAGGTGAGGCACCAAAAGGGAAAGGGACCTGCTCAAAATTCACATGGGTAGTAAATGGCATAAAAATAACCAAGATCTAGCATTAGGTAATTCCAAAATAAAGTGTTCTGGTTTTATTCTGTTCATTTTGTTACATAAATAATAGGTGAGTATTTACATAGTCTTGTGAAAAGAAAAAGAAACACTTGAAGCAGTCATTCCTCTTAACTCTAGTTTCTGCTGCCACTCATATTCCAGAAGTAACCACTTTTGTCAGTTTGATGTATGTCAGTTCAGACAATTTGCTATGCACTTAACATGCAGTTAAAAGTGTCATACTGTAGGGTTTTTAAAATATAGGACCATATAGGAAGTATTTTGTTATTATTCTTTTTCACTTAGCAATCAATAGTTGGAGATCTTTCTACATTGGTACATTTAGTTCTGCTCAGTTTGTCATTCATTTAATAAACATCTATTGAGCATCTACTGTGTGGCAGATCCAGTTTGCACTGGCACACAGTAATAAATAGAGTAGACCAAAAAAATAATCTCATCCTCTTGGAGCTTACCTTCTGAAATGAGGAGAGACGTAAAATTATTAAAATAGGCTAGGGTGATAGGGAGGGCTGGTGGGCAGGAGAGGTTGTAATTTTAAGTTGGGTGCTTAGAGAAGGCCTTATTTATTATAAAGTGACATGGAGAGAAGATCAGAAAACAGCAAGGAACATGACATGTAAATATATGGGGAAAGAATAGTCCAGGTAGAGGGATGAGTATGTGGAATAGTAAGGAGGCTTGTGCAGCTGAGGCAGAGTAGGTGATGGGAAAGTGGATGGTAAGAGAGGTGAGAAATAAGACTGGAGGAAATAACTGGGAGCCAGATCTTGTAAAGCCTTGTAAGCCATTGAAAAAAAAATGGTATGTGTTCTAAGATAGGAGCCACTAGAAAGTTTTGAGTAGAGAAATGACCTGACCTGACATATAGTGGAGAGGATCAGTCACTTCTGTATTGAGATTAGATTGTAGAGAGGTAAGGGTGGAAGCAGGAAACAATGGTGGCTTGGACCAGGGTGGTAATTGTGGGCATCATGAGAAGTGGACCAGTTTGAGAGATGGTTTGAAATAAAAGCCAGCTGTGTCTGCTGATTGGATATAGGGTGTTAGGGAAAAATCCAAACATGGCTCTAAAGTTTTTTGATCTGAATAAAAGGAAAAATGGACTGCCTGCTAAACCAGGTGGAGAAGGCTGTGAGAAGAGCAGGTTTGGTAGGGTGATTGTTTGATTTTGTACATGTTAAGTTGAAGGTGTTAGATCTGCAGGGGAGATGCTGAGAAGGCATTTTTGTATGTAAGTCTGGAGTTTAGGGGAGAGGTGTGGGCTGGAGATAGAAAACTGGAAGTCATCAGAATATAGATGGTTTGAAAAATCATGGCACTGGATTATATCACCAAGGGATCTGGTATAGTTACCAATAAAAGAAAAGGTCCAAAGGTTGTACCTGGGAATACTCCAATGTTAAAAGATCAGAGAGATGGGCAGGAACCAAAAAATTGAACTAAGGAAGGAGGAAATTCAGGCAAATGTGGTGTCCTGCAAATCAAATGAAGATAGTCCTAGGAGAAGGGATTATACAGATGTTAACTGCACAGTTTGATTAAATACACGTAGATGAAATGCATATGTAGGTCAATTAGGACAAAGACTGAGAATTGACCAGTGGATTTAGCAGTGATGCAGGCATACTGAATTAGAGAGTGCAACATAAGAGACTCAGATTTGTTTGGTCCAGGATGTACCCCAGACCCCAGGGGTTTTAAAGCTCCCCAGGTGATTATAATATGCAGCCAAGGTTCAGACCACTGTCATCATTTCTTTCTCTTCATTGTGAAATGACCTTATTGCCAGAAACAGATGTTGCTGACTGATTAAACACAGGAGTCTTTATCTATAGGTTTGTTCTTGGATACCTTGGGATCTGAAAATGATAAGCAGATCTGAAAGCTGATTATTAACTACTAAAGCGATTAGCTGTTTAGCACCTGTCTTAAAAGTGGCTTTTAAGCAGAAAATCTCTTTTTGCTTTTCATTTTATTAGATGTTTGATTTTTGTTTTGTTTATACTCAAAAAGATCTTTTATTTGAGAAACAAGGGTAAGTTTCAAGTTAATGAAAAATGTTAAGGGAAATCTTGATATAACTTGTCAAAAAAAAAAAACCTAGAAAACAAAAATAAAACTCAACCTGAACTCACATCAGTAATTAAGCATTTGAGTTATACATTTTTTTGCAGAATCATGTGTATTTCAAATCCCCAAATGAGGTTATACCAGGTATAGAAAATTTGTAACTCATTAGAATTTTAATATTTTTCATATTCTTGACATAGACATTAGAAGTTATTTAAGTGCTTTAGCAAATTTGAATTGGGTTGGTATTGTTAGCACTTCAAAAATTAAATACCATAGATGGGCTATGCAAAAAGAGATCTAGTTTGCAGGCTCATTAAATTAGATTCTATATGACAAACAGAAGGAAGATCACATATATCAAAACAGGACCAAGGCTGTGGCTGTGGCTCGGAGGTAATGCACTTATCTGGCATGTGTGAGGCACTGGGTTCAATTCTCAGCACCACATGTAAATAAATAAAATAAAGGTCTGTCAACAACTTAAAAAAAACAGGACCAAGGTATAAAATGGAAAAAATTCAGAGACAAAATAAAGGCTTAATTATTGCACTTGTGCAAGTATCATTGCATGATTAGTTTTGGTTCTCCTTTACCCCCATTTCTTTGTACTCTATCACTGGATTTTTTATGAATTAGAGGTACACCATTTTACCTATAGATGTTTCAGCATGTCTTTCTAAAAGTCAAGGACACTTTTATAAAATAATCATGATTAAGGTGTCATACCTAAAAATCAACAAAAATTCCTCATTGTCTGTGTTCATACTTTGCCAGTTGTTCTGGGGTTTATTACATCACTTTCCTCTTCTCTTATTTTGTCTTACAATTTATTTGTTGAAGATAGGATCAAGTAGGAACTAAGTATACTTATATGAGATTTACTAATATATATCCTAAGCAGTTGCTGCTTTTGAAAATGAAAAAGAATCAAAGTATTACTTTGATTCTTTTTTCTATTAAAGCACATCATCCTCACCTCCAATCTTCCAGTAGGATGAGTGCACATATACTCTTGGTCTTGATTGGGCTGTTTGTGATCTTACGTATCTTTCAGGAGAAACAGTGCAGGTGACCGTGAGAAGGCTCTTCAGGTCATGCTCCAGGTTCTGCAGAGCTGTGACCACCCAGCTCCTGACATGTTTTGCCTGTGTGGGAGGATCTACAAGGATATCTTCTTGGATTCAGACTGTAAAGATGCTGCCAGCAGAGACAGTGCCATTGAGTGGTAAGTAGCATATGCATCTCTGCACAGAATCACATAGGCCAAGCATCTAGGTCTTTTCCCTATGTGCATATGTGTGTCCATCCACTGGCAGTGAAAAAAAACCTTGCAATAAATGTGGTCTGGGAATTTTCAGATTCCCTCTTCTGAGAGAAAGCCATGAAAACAGGGTTTTCTCTTGAAAACACACTTCCTGTAAGTTCACTCATTTATGAGGCAGGAAGAAGGCTCAACACACTTCTTCCCAGCTACCCCTTCTAGAATATTTTTTAACCTTTATTTATTTGTTTTTATGTGGTGCTGATGAATGAACCCATTGCCTCACCAAGGCTAGGCAAATGCTTTACCACTGAGCTACAACCCCAACCTTCCTTCCAGAATCTTATCCACCACTGTCAAGGTATTATTTTCCCAGTGAACAGTTCATTATTTGTTTATTCAACAAATATTTATTGAGGGCTTACATTGTGCCAGAAATTTTCTAAATGGTAGAAATGTGGAATGAATCCTGCCCTCAGGCACCTTGCTGTTAAGGGAAGTCAGAAAAGTAAATAAGGCAAAATGTATGGGATGTTAGCTGATGGCAAGGGCTATGGGGGAAAGTTAAGCAGGGAAAAGAAAAGGAGAGTTGAGAGGGTAGTCTGTAATTTTAAATAGGTTGGGTAGTAAAGGTAAGTAAAAACGTGAAGGTGGTGAGGGAGTGGGCTTTGCAGATAACTGTGGAGAAATATGTGAGGTGGAGGGAACAGCACAGGCAAAGACTCCAAGGAGGAAGCATGCTGGACACACTTATGGATGGTGAGGAGTAAGCAGAAGAGTAGCAGGGAAGCTAAAATAGTAAGCTGGGTTCCCATTTTGGTGGCTAAAAATTCAACCCCCAGATCAGGAAATCATTGCTTGTAACTCCTTCAGAAAAGTCAGAGGAGTTTTTTTTCCCCAGCTACTTAAGAAAGTAGTGGTGGTAGGTACAGGAATAAATGCAGCTTAGTCTTTTGATCAGGGCATGTATGCCCTGGATAAGACCTTGGAGATCATCTAACCCAAACCCTAAAGTATGGATGTGAAGCATGTGGCCCAGGGAGATAGGTGACTGGTCCAAGGTCATGGGGCTGGCTAAAGATCACAGGGATGGTTAGTGGCAAATCTGGGACTGCAGTCCTCTGATTGGAGTCCAAATCATCTCTGCCCCTGAGTAAGGCCTGTTTTAATTTGGGAAAAGGAAAACTTCTCTGCCCTCTTCTTTTTTTTTTTTTTTTTTTTTTTAAAGAGAGAGTGAGAGAGAGGGGGACAGAGAGAGAGAGAGAGAATTTTAACATTTATTAATTTTTTCTTAGTTCTGGGCGGACACAACATCTTTGTTGGTATGTGGTGCTGAGGATCGAACCCGGGCCGCACGCACGCCAGGCGAGCGCGCTACCACTTGAGCCACATCCCCAGCCCCACTGCCCTCTTCTTAATTAACTTGCTTTTTAAATGATTTTTTTTTTGAGACAGAGTTTTATTAAGTTGCTGAGGCTGGCCTTGAACTTGCAATCCTCCTCAACCTCCTGAATAGCTGGGTGCACAGGTGTGCACCACCACACCCACCTCAGTATAACATTTAATTGTAAAAGAAAATTTTTTAAAGGCAAACTAGGTAGGATATGAAATTTTAAATTCCCAAGATATGTGGGGCAAAAAAGGTTGAAATTTTGTTGACTGGGATAGGAAGGACTTTCCTGGTGTCCTCTGGTTGGTCTGAAGTTACTTGTATTATTCTCTAAAGTTCATAAAGCCATATTTTTTTTAATTTTTTAATATTTATTTTTTAGTTGTCGGCAGACACAACATCTTTGTATGTGGTGCTGAGGATCGAACCCGGGCCACACGCATGCCAGGCGAGCGCGCTACCGCTTGAGCCACATCCCCAGCCCAATAAAGCCATATTTTAACTTATAGAAATAATAATTTCTCCCTTTAAGAAGTAATGTTTTATTGATGAATTCTCTTGTTACCCCTGGTTTATAAGTCCTTGGTATTAACAGTGCCACTTAAAGATATGTTTGTGTTATTACATCATTGATTGAATATCTTTTTTCCTGATCATAGTAGTCATACTTGCTCATGGGAAAGAAAGAAACTTTATGTATAGAAAAGAATAAGATTTGGACTATTACAAATAAATCTGCTATGAAAGTTTGTGCAAAGAGAAAAGAATGAAGATAGTTGAAATGGAACTTTTTTCTTTTGTGCTGGGAAAACTGGAAATCCATATGCAACAAAATGAAATTATACCCCTATCTCTCACCATGCACAAAACTCAACTCAAAGTGGATCAAGGACCTAGGAATTAAACCAGAGACTCTGCTTCTAATAGAAGAAAAATTAGGCCCTAATCTCCATCATGTTGGATTAGGCCCCAACTTCCTTAATAAGACTCCTATAGTGCAAGAATTAAAACCCAGAATCAATAAATGGGATGGACTCAAACTAAAAAGTTTCTTCTCAGCAAAAGGAACTTAACTTTTTGTATAAAAATAGTATTTCTAGTTTTGTATCTTATTCCTTATTCTAATGTGATAGATCCTTGCCCCTCCTGTCCCTTTTTGTTGCTGCCCTGATAACCATCCAGGATTCTGGCATCATGACTTTATATATGAAAAAACAATTCCATGTCATGATAAAGAAAACAAACAAATGGCATACAGAAAAATAGCCTATGATTGATGCTATTTTGATATCACAAAATATTGAATGTACAACTGGAGTCGAACCTTAAAAAGAAAATTTTAACATCAAATTGTGGTCATCTTTTGAGGATAGGATTATAATAGACTTTAAATTTCTTTTGTCTGTTTTAAAGTGACTTCCCTGTTTATATGATCATTAAGGCTTTCATTACAAAAACATAAGCCTTTTGAAGAAAAATTTCAAACTCCCTAGTGTAAGTTACAGCACTGCTATTACAACATCTTGAAAAAGTCATTGGAGAGCTGCATGTTCATCAAGGTGAAAGAGAGAACCATGAAATAACAAAGTAATAAATATTTTCATAAGAAGGTAGTTTATATCATTATCTATACATTTTTGTTCTAATAGAATAAGATGATATAATAAGAATTTGGTGCTTCTATAATTATAGGTATCGCAAGGGGTTTGAACTGCAGTCATCTCTTTATTCGGGAATTAACCTTGCAGTTTTGCTGATTGTTGCTGGACAACAATTTGAAACTTCCATGGAACTAAGGAAAATAGGTAATGCTGTTTATTATTGCAGATGTTGATGTTTCAGTTATACAAGTTTAGCATTGAAAATTATGTTCAAATAACTAGCAATATATTTCAAAAGAAACAATCAGTTACTACCTGATAGCATACCTGAGACACAGCAGCCAAAGTAAAATGTCCACATGTCCTCTGCTCAAAGGCTTGTGTGATGTGACCGAAACTAGGAAGATTTTTTTCATGACTATTAAAAATTCAAATTCTGAAGGTGTTCGACTGAATAGTTTGTTGGGAAGAAAAGGGAGCTTGGAGAAAATGAACAATTACTGGGATGTTGGCCAGTTCTTCACTGTCAGCATGTTGGCCAATGATGTCGGGAAGGCGGTGCAAGCAGCAGAGAGGCTATTCAAGCTGAAACCTCCAGTCTGGTAAGTCCAATCTGTGCTTTGTCATCACTCTTCTTAATATCTGATTCACTAGAAGGACTCACAGAACTCAGAAATGCTGTTATACTAAGTTATGGTTTGCTACGATGAGAGAATATAGATTAAATCAGCAACGGCAAAAAGCACATGGGGAGACCATGTACAAGCTTCCAGTGGAATCATATGGACAGTGCTTAATTCTCCCAGCAGCAATAGAGACAGCATGCTTGCAGCATATCCAGCCAGGAAAACTTACTGAGTCTTGATGTACAGGGTTTTTATTGGAGGTGAATCATGTAGGCATTGAATGTTCATGTGATTGATCTTAAGACCTCAGTGTCCAACCCCTCCAGTATTCAAACTCATATAGTGAGTGGCCCAAGGCCTCCACCATGACTCATATTTTTAGCAGAAACTGTGTGACATGGCCTAAGGCTTCAGGGAAACAGGCAGAATACTCCAGAGATTTAGAAGTAATGCCTCAGTATTCAGTCAAAGGCCAGATCTTTTTTTGGAATGAGTAAAATTTGGACAATTGAGGCCTGGTGAGTACCCAAACAAATTGGTTGGAGTCTAGCTGGCTTGCCTTTCTAGGATAGCTCCAGACTTTATCCTCAGAGAGAAAAATAATACTATGATGCTTTCAGCTGAACCATCTCCATTTAGTACTTTGTGAAATATAGTTAATGTTACTGCCTGATCACTATACTTCAAAAAGTTCACTTTGCCTGAAGACAGCAAAGGTATAGGCAGAGTCAAGACTTCATAGCATCAAAATCTACCTGGTCAGAGTCTTAAGTTTTTAAAAAATGAGTTTCAGATTGGTGATTATTAGTGGTAAAGGGGAGGATGGGGATGGGAGGGAAGTAGGCATACCTATTAGAGGACAACATGAGGGATCCTTGTGGTGATGGAAATCTCTATCTTGACCGTTTGGATGGCAACATTCTGGTTGTGATATTGTACTACAGATTTGCAAGATGTTGCCATTGAGGTAAACTGGGCCAAGAATTTATGGGTTCTGTCTGTATTATTTCTTACAACTCCACCTAGATCTAAAATAAAAAGTTTAATTAAAAACAAAAGACAATGGGTTTGAAAGTTTGCTATTTTGTAATTTTAACTTAAGAACTGCTTGCCTTTTTTTTTTTTTTTAACTTGAGGGGATTTCCAGCAATAGCCAGAAAGCTTGATAGCTGAAACACTTTGGCTTTTTGTTGTTTAAGAGTTATAGCATGCTTTCCAGTCACTATGCCTTGGATGCTATGTACTAAAATTGAGGTTTAGGCCAATGTTGGTAAAAAGCCATGTTTTATGATTTTGTTGGACTTACTTATTTTGCCTATTGTTTGGGCTTCTTTTTATTAGTTATATGGTTGCCAAATGATTGTGTATGATGTACTGTGACAGAATATGCATTTAAGTAAATAAAGCTTTGGGGTAGATAGTTTTAAAGGGAGTACACGTGAATTCAGTTCTGATTTATGGGGTTTTGTGATTTTTTTTTTCCCCAGGTATCTGCGATCATTAGTTCAGAACTTGTTATTAATTCGGCGCTTCAAGAAACCCATTATTGAACATTCACCTAGGCAAGAACGGCTCACCTTCTGGTTAGATATAATTTTTGAAGCAACAAATGAAGTTAGTAATGGACTCAGATTTCCAGTAAGTTATGCTAAATTCAATTTTCTTCCTGTCTTCCTTCCTTTCTTCCTTTCTTCCTTTCTTTTCCTGATGCTGGGGATGGAACCCAGGGCCTTGCACATGCTAGGCAAGTTCCCTACCACTGAGCTATGTCCCCAGAACTAAATTCACTTTATAAGATAGACAAAAGAAACTTGGGATTATTACTACCTTAATTATTGAATACTCTAAAGGGAAGAAAACTGTAATTTCATATGTTAGAATAAATACTCTAAAGGGAAGAAAACTGTAATTTCATATGTTAGAATAACTACCAATCCTATGCAGAATCATCAAGTGATAGATCAACTCCCTGGGGAAAAGTTGGCTATATCCTCTCAAGTAATGGCTCTCAACTTAGAGTAATTATGTCCTCAAGGGATATTGGCAATGTATGGAGACATTTTGGGTTGTCACAACCGGGGGAAGAGGTTGTTCTACTGGTCACCAGCATGCTAGAGACCAGGGAGGTTGCTACCCATTCTACAATATACAAGACAGCCCCCACAATAAAAAAAATATATTTATATCTAGCCCAAACTATCAATAAGGCCAAGGCGGAGAAATCCTGCTCTCAAAAAATATAGTCCTAACAATAGAAACATGGAATTTAAAACTGTCTCCTATTAAGCTTTGGTTTGCCTCCAGTGCCACTGAGTTTTAATTTAAAACTTTATTGAAAAATCAGAATTGCTTTTAGCTTTTGTTTCAATTCTATAGCCATTTATAAAGGTTCATAAGTAAGATATCTAAGTGTCCTGGAAATTGCACTTCAGTAATTATGTTTCATATTTATGCCATGAGATTTTGTGAACATGTTTTTAAGAATTTCATTAAGTGCCTAATAAAAGATGGAGTTGTTGGAAAGGACTGTGATAATTATTTTGTTCCTGCGTAATACATTTTAAAATCTTCTTTTAATTATGAAAATTTCAAATCTGAAAGGTACAAACCCATAATGAAATGGACACTTGTGAAAGCTTTTTGGGGGTTTAGCTGTCTTAAACATATTGCTTTATTTGTTTTGAAGATGTATTCCTACTCCCCCACAACTCTCTCCTTTTCCCTCTCTCCCCACTTCTCCACCTGCCCCCTTTTCTCTCCCTCCTCCTCCTCCTCCTCCTCCTCCTCCCTCTCCTTTACTCTCTTTTTAAGAAAAATATTTATTTTTTAGTTGTAGTTGGACACAGTATCTTTATGTGGTACTGAGGATGGAACCCAGGGCCTCGCACGTGCTAGGCGAGCGCTCTACCACTGAGCCACAACCCCAGCTCTCCTTTACTCTCTTAACCAAATAACACCTTACCAATGAAAATGTCACTCACTTTTCATCTCCTTTACAGACTTGGGACCTGCCATCCATTCCTTCTGCTTCTTTATTTCTCTCAAAAGCTGCAACCTCCTCCCTCTTTCTTTTGTCATCTCTTCAGACAGGCCTTTCTTGGCTGTCATGTCTGAAGAAGTGCCCCTCCCCCTTCTGCCTTATTCTCTTTAAGACTGGTGCTCTGTCACCCCATTGAATCATAGCCCAGCTATACCCTTGGCTCCTTAAGCCATGCTTAGCATAGTTGGTTTTTGAAGACTATTTGTTGAGTATAAATCTTCCCACTTCCTTTCTGGGTAGGGTCACCTGTTTTAGATTCATGTGTCTTACAAGAATCTTCTTATCTTAGGTTCTGGTGATAGAGCCAACCAAAGTCTACCAGCCTTCTTATGTTTCTATCAACAGTGAAGCTGAGGAGAGAACAGTTTCTTTATGGCATGTATCACCCACAGAAATGGTAAGGGAAAAAGTCACAAGCAGTTCTCTTTCTTCTCTATTATTTAATCAAAGATTCAATTTTCAACTAGGAAGAATTTGTGTGTTACAGTTGGAAAGTATAGTTCACCCATGCTCAACTTCTGAAATATAGAACTGTATGAGAAGATATAATCACAGATGAAAGAAAAGAAGCAGATTTTTCCCCTTTTTATTTTTAAATATTTTATATTAATTGTAATTGGACACAATACCTTTATTTTATTTTTATGTGGTGCTAAGGATCAAACCCAGTGCCCCACACGTGCTAGGTGAGTACTCTACCGATGAGCCACAACCCCAGCCCCTGGATTTTTTCCATTTTTATGTATTGTGTATATGCATATATGGGGGAGCATATGTGGGTTTGTAAGTGGACATATATGTGTTTATATGTAATATTTTCAAATATATGTCAAGTACAGGTTTTTAAATAGTGAAATCATAAGGAAGTAGATAGGACATATGCAGAGAAAATCCCTCCATGTTTCTCAGACCTTGTTTCCATTTCTATCCCCATCCCCACCCCCAGTGATTGAGTGGATAACCCTTATCTTTTCTCTAAACTCACTTATATATGTATAATATATATTATACGAGTTTTATTCACAAAGGCATTTTACATTACAGTGTGATCATATAAGCATATACTTATTGCTTTGTAACTTTTAAACTCATGCAAACATCATGGGAAGTTTTTCAGGTAGCACACACAGATCCATCTTGATTCTTTAAGTGTCATATTCCCTGGTTTCATGTCATATTGTATATTTTGTGGTCTAGATGAACCTGTTATTTCACTTCATTCTTACTGATGCATATTTAGGTCCCTGATTTTTAACTCTTCTGATGGTATGCTAGTGTGCATCCTATGCTCATGGAAGCATTTCAGAAGCAGAGATTTCCTAGAATTGGACTTTCTGGACCCAAGGGTACATGTATTTAAAACTTTGATAGTTGCTATCAAATTATACCATTCTAGTTTGTACTTGTACCAATAGTACACAAGATTACAGAAATGCTGGCTGGGCTTGATGTTTTGTGGTAATGGTGATATTTTCATATCTTTATCTAAAGTACTTCATCAGTTTGTTCTTTCATAAATTTTGCATTTAATAAAGAAACATAGCACCTTTGACAAACACTTTAGATAGATTTATTTGCTGTGCATGTGTTTCCATGGAGCGTGAAAAGACTTCTGCCATTAACTTGGCAAAGAGGCTTATTTTTCTTCCTGGAAGCAAGAGTGTGAATGATAATGTTGTAATCAGGTAAAAATAACCAATATCTTCACAAATAACTTGCAACATTAAACAATAAGCAGAGGCTCAATTCATATTAAAAACTCCTTATCAGATCTATTCATGATATCTCAAGTGAGGGCCAATAACCTTGTCCAATATTTAACATTAGACTAATCTTCTTATCATTGAAAATAGTCAGCAGCCATTAGTGAGGACAAGCTAGCATGATGTGCTTGTGTTTTTATCCTGCACTCTGTACATTAAATATCTGAGTACAAAAAAAGCATATATTTTTTCAACCTATGATAAAGTGCACATATGGCATTCATACAGATAAATCTCATTTGAAGAATGCACACATCTTTTATTTAATTTGCCTCTTCTTTGGGTATTTTTTCTCTTTTTTATAATATACTAGGGATTGAACCCAGAGGTGGTCTACCACTGACCTGCATCCCCAGCCCTTTTTTATTTTTTATAAGGTCTTGAGATAGGGTCTTGCTCACTGAGGTGGGCCTCAAACTTGTGATCCTCCTGCCTCAGTCTTTCCTGAGTCACTGGGATTATAGGCATGCACCAGCAAGCCTGGCTTCTTTGGGTATTTTTTTTAAAACCTGTTATTGAAGTTGAGCCTCCCTAATCCAAAAACCTGAAATGCTCCAAAATCTGAAGCTTTTTTAACATCTATATTCAGAAAGTCTCAGGTTTGGGAACATTTCAGATTTCAGATTTTCAGATCAGGGATGCTCAACCAGTAAAAATCTATGCAAATATTCCAAAATATGAAAAACTGCAAAATCTAAAACACTTCTGGTTTCAAACATTTCAAATAAGAGATTTGGTCTGTGTAACTTATACACACAAAAAGTGCATAAATCATAAATGTATAGCTTGATAGAGTTTTTACAAAGTGATCACACCTTAGTAGCCCCTGCTCCTGCTGTCTTTGTGCAGACCTCTAAGTGCCATCTCCATGAAGCACCCTGTTCTCAGTTCAGAAAATCCTTTACCAGACACCAACCTTGCTTATTTTCTTTGTATCATTGATACTACTCTCATAAAAGAGAATTTCTAAAATAGGAGTCTGTAATCTCACTCTTTCTTTATATAGATGTAAAATACCAGATATTTAGATAAATGGTTCCAGAAAAAAAAACTGATGCTATTAAAGTAACTCTTTATACTTATAAAGCTGAAATGGTTTTGATTTCAAGGAATTCTACCAACTCAGCCCACCTCATTTGAAACCTATAATGGTTGCTGACTCAATAGAAATTTCCATTGGTACATATAATATCTCACTGGTTGTAAATGTTTTGCTTTGCATATAGTCTGTAATAAGAAATGGAAAAGAATTATATACATAGCAAATGTTAGTTTTCCTTGACTGATGAAATGTTTTCCATAAGTGCTCCTAGTTGTCTGAGAGAAATATAAATTGCCTTTTTCTCTGAGAGGAATCCTTTGAAACGTTTGCCTTCATTTACAATTTTGAAATTGTATGGATTGTGAAAAGCAAGCTAGATTTGCCTAGAGTGAGATGACATTTTCTACATAGTGTATTCTACATTGCATTTTTTCTCCTGGTAGGCTATGTATGGATAATAAAAAGAGAACACATATACATATATACAACTCCTTGTACCATTGCTTTTAAATTAGATTAAGTTCCTGGTTTATTTGCCAAGAATTCAGAAATTCACTGGAAGCAGGAAGGCAGTAATATGCTAGTAAATGTTGAACAGCCAACTTTCTGGGGATAAAGGCTAATTTTTAGTGTTTATTGATTCCTGTAGTGTAAATACTACTAGGGATCAATTTTAAGCAACCTCAGGCCAACAAAATGGATTTTCCTGTTTAATATTATTTTTTTACACTTGTGATGTATTCATATTGTAGCCTATGGTTTTTCTGAAACCAGAGTTTAGACATTCCATCCAAGGCTTAACCTTGTACAGTTTAAGGGCAAGAAATGGTAATAAAGTAAGAGGATGAAGTTGGTTTTTTTTTTTAAAGTGTGCTTTGGAGTTTCTGGGAAGATGGCAGAGTAAAGGAGATGACTTTCCAAGTTGCTCTGTGGCATGAGACCAAGGTAGTAGATGCATAGCTTCTCAACAAGGTGGGCAAAAGAGGGTTATGGGAGCCAACCCACCATGGGCAAAGGAGGGGGACTAGAGGAAGCAGCGTTTCAGGTGGTTTGGTGGTGTGTCTTGGTGTGGAGAAATCTAAGATCAAAAACCCTCCCTGAACTTATCTGAACCAAGGGGTGGCAAACTATGCAGGTCCTTGAGAAGGACTCTTGGGTGTTAAATAAGTGAGTACCGGTGGTATCTCAGGGAAAGAGGAGCCAGGAGCCACTTTGGGGCAAGCACGCCCACTGTGACATAAATGGGACTCGGTAGATCAGGAAAAACACACACAGAGAAAGCCATAGTGTCCTGGCAGGTGCCTAACAAGGAACCTCGGCAGTGTCTGGCATAACAGAAGAGAAACTGGCTTGGAGTGGAGTGGACTGTACCTAGGGGGACTTCAGTTATAAGGGCTAAGGGGTGCCTTTGTGTCTGGTGGCTCATATGCTGGCCTGGAAGTCAGAGTAGGTATGAGGTGAATACACTCAGAAACTACACCTGGGAGAGCTGAACTCCTGGGCAAAAGTGAGTACAATCATGGTCACCCTGATCCATGATTGGATTTCTAGGGAAGTAATCAAGTACTAAACCCATGGAAATAATCAAGCTAAAGTCTAGGCTTAGGGGCAGGTCCACCTAGTCTCTCCAAAGAAGGCATCTTTCAACCTAGCCAGGCAAGATCTGAAGGCCAAGTAGGTCCCAGCACCACCTGCTGGATCTCCCCTCACAGAATGCACTGCAGAAGCAGTACCTTGGGTGTTCACAGAAGGGTCAAAATGCAAACTGACTGTACAACTTACCCATCCCATCTCATGCTGGTGAGAAGGGAAATTGAGTCTTATATCAAACAGCTTCAATCTTAGGCCACTATAACTAGTAACTCAGCCACACAATAACAGGAAGGGGTTAACATCCCCATACCTTGTTCTTTCTATCAGTACTTTACACAAGATTAATTGATAAGACTATTAAAGATAGATATTGACCACCCATTCTAGTCAAATATTTTGACTACTTCAATGGAGCCTTCTAGTCTACACCAAGATATTTTTTTACATATACATATTCTTAAATTAGTTTTTTTAATTCTTTCAATGTGTGTATGTGTGTGTATTCCCCAAATGTCAATGCACCCAATTACATGGAAGAAATACTCCATGATGTTAAATTCCAAATAGACCCCAACATAATAAATAATACTGGGAGATTTCAAAACAACCTTATCACCAATAGATAGGTCATCAAAACAAACAAAAAAATCAACAAAGATATCTCCAACATAAACAACACTATAAATCAAGTAGACCTAACAGACATCTACAGAATATTCCACCCTAAAACAGCTTAAATATACCTTCTTCTTAGCTGCACTTGGAACTTTTTTATATAGGCCATGAAGCAAATCTTAGCAAATACAAAAAAGACTGATATAATCCCATGTATCATATCAGATCATAATGGAATGAAGCTAGAAATCAACAGCAAGCAAAATAATAAAAGCCACATAAATGCATGGAGATTGAAAAATATTCTATTAAGTGAAGAATGGATCAAAGAAGAAATGAGAACAGAAATCAAATTCTTAGAAATGAACAAGAACGAAGACATATCAAAGTCTCTGGGACAGTATGAAAGCAGTTCTAACGAAAATTTATAGCACTGAGTATCTACATTAAAAAATTGGAGAGATTCCAAATAAATAAGATAATGTTCCACCTCAAGGCCTTAGAAAAAGAAGAACAAACTAACCCCCAAACCAGTAGAAGACAGGAAATAATTAAGATTTGAGCTGAAATCAATGAAAATAAAAATAAGAAAATGATATACAAGATCAATGTAGCAAAGAGTTGGTTCTTGGAAAAGATAAATAAAATTGACATAATCATAGCCAAACTAACCAAAAGAAAGAATGAGAAGAAGCAAATCAATAAGATTAGGGATGAAAAAGGAGATATCCCACATATCCCTCTGAAATCCTGAGGATTATCAGATCCTATTTTGAAAATTTATATTCCAATAGACTGGAGAGTCTGGAAGACATGGACAAATTTCTTGACACACATGACCTGCCCAAATTGAACAGGAAGATATAGAAATCCAATATAAAGTAATGAAACAGACCAATATAAAGTAATGAAATAGAAACAGCAATTAAAATCTTTCCAAAAAGGAAAAGCCCTGGACCTGATGGCTTATCAGCTGAGTTCTACTAGACCTTTGTGAAAGACTGGTGTCAGTTCTTCTATAAGTTATTCCATGAAGTTGAAGGAGAGGGAACACTCCCAAATACTTTTTATGAAGCTAATATAACCATACCAAAACCAGGCAAAGACATTTCAAGGAAAGAAAACTATAGACTGATATCCCTGATGAACATAGATGCAAAAATCCTAAATAAAATATTAGCAAACCACATTCAAAAACACATCAAGAAGATAATATACCATGATCAAGTGGGTTTCATTCCAGAGTTGCAAGTTTGGTTCAACATATGCAAATCAATAAGTGTGACTCATCACTTAAACAGAATTAAGAACAAAAAGCACATGATCATCTCAGTAGTTACAAAAAAGACCTCTGATAAAATCCACCACCCATTCATGTTAAAAAATGTTGGAGAAACTAGGGATCAAAGGAACTTACTTCAACATCATAAGGGCCACTTATGACAAACCCAAAGCCAACATCAAACTAAATGGAGAAAAACTAAAAGCATTTCCAAGTAAATCCAGGAACAAGCTAAGGCTGTCCACTTTCACCACTCCTATTCAATATAGTCCTTGAAACATTAGATAGAGCAATCAGGCAAGAAAAGGAAATCAAAGGTATACAAAGAAGAAAAGAAGAAGTCAAAGTATCTCTGTTTTCCAATGATATGATCCTCTATCTAGAAGATCTAAAAAAACTCCACCAGAAGACTTTTAGAGTTTATACATGAATTTAACAAAGTAGCAGGGTACAAGATCAACACCCATTAATCAATTGCTTTTCTATACTCCAACAGTGATTCAGTCAAAGAAGAAATCAGAAAAACCATCCCACTCACAATAACCTTAAAATAAAAGACTTGGGAATTAATTTAACCAATGAGCTAAAAGAGCTCTACAGTGAAAAATCATAGAACACCAAAGAAATAAATTAAAGAAGACCTTAGAAAATGGAAAGATATCTCATGTTCTTGCATAGGCAGAATTAATATTGTCAAAATGGCCATAATACCAAAAGCAATATACAGATTCAATGCAATCCCCATTAAAATACCAATGACATTCTTCACCGAATTAGAAAAAAATCTTAAATTCATTTGGAATAAAAAAGGATCAAGAATAGCCAAAGTAATACTAAGCAAGAAAAGTGAAGCAGGACTTCACTTCACAATATATGATCTGAAATCATACTACAGAGTATGAAATAACAAAAACAGCATGGTATTGGCACCAAAATAGAAATGAAGACCAATGGAATAAAATAGAAGACACAGAGACAAACCCATAAACCCATAGCCATCTGATATTTGACAAGGATGTCAAAAATATGTCTTGGAGAAAAGACTGCCTTTTAACAAATGGTGCTGGGAAAACTGGATAGCTATATGTAGAAAAATGAAATCAGACCCCTATCTTTCACCCTGCACAAAACTCAAATCAAAATGGAATTAGGCCAGAAACCTTAAAACTGCTAGAAGAAAACATAGGGTCAACACTCCATCATATAGGTGCTGGTGCAGACATCCTTAACAAGACCCCTCAAAGCACAAGAAAAAAAACAACAATCAATAAGTGGGATGCCATTAAACTAAAAGTTTCTGCACAGCTAAGGAAATGATTAAAAGCATGGAGAGAGAGCCTAGAGAATGGAGAAAGTCTGGCCAGCTACTCCTACAAAAGGAGATGAATATCCAGAATATGCAAAGAACTCAAAAACCTTACCATGCCCCTTGCAAATAACCCAATCAATAAATGGACAAAGAAACTGAACAGGAACTTCTCAATAGAAGAAACACAAAAGGCCAATAAATACATGAAAAAAATATTCAACATCTCTAGTAATCAGGAAACGCAAATCAAAAACTACACTGATTTCTTCTTACTCCAGTCAGAATGGCAATGATCAAGAATACAAACAACAATATATGCTGGTGAGATTGTGGGGAGAAAAAACACTTGTACATTGTTGGTGGGACTACAGACTAGTATAACCACTCTGGAAAGCAGTTTGGAGTTTTCTCAAAAAACTAGGGATGGAACCCTCATATGACCCAACTATCCCACTCCTGAGTATTTTCCCCAAAGATCTAAAATTGGCATGCTATAGTGACACAGCCACATCATTGTGTATAGTAGCACAATTCACAATAGCGAATGCATAGTATCAATCCAGATGTCTGTCAATAGATGAATAGATTATGAAATTGCAATCTCACACACACACACACACACACACACAATGGAGTTCTACTTGGCCACTAAAAAGAACAAAATTATCACATTTACCCATAAATGGATAGAAAGGGAGAATATCATACTAAGTGAAATTAGCCAAACTCAGAAACTCAAAAGGTTTTCTCATATGTGGAAGCTAGAGTAAAATAAAGGAAAGGTGGAGGGAAGGACAAAGTTACAGAATGAACCAATAAAATACAAATTAATAGATGAGCAAAAAGAAGTCTAGCATATAGACTAGAGGAAGAAGAGGGGGAGGGGCAGGACGGGAGGGAAAAGGGAGAAGGAAAAGTGGGGGTCATGAACAGAAATTGATTTCTATGCATGAATGAGTTGTTGGGATGAACCCAGCTACTATGTATGACCATAAAGCTCTAATAAAAATAAATAAATAGATAATAAAGTGCACTTTGGACGTGAGCATGGGTGGTGCATGTCAGCAACTTGGGAAATTGAGGATTGCAAGTTCAAGCCCAGCCTCAGCAATTAAGCAAGGTCCTAAGCAATTTTAGCAAAACCCTGTCTAAAAATAAAAAGTAAAAACAAAGACTGGGGATGTTGCTCGGTGGTTAAACACCCCTGGGTTCAATCCCTGGTACCTACCTCCCAAGAAAGTACATTTTGATACAGTTTTTCTATTAGTCATGATAGGCCAGATGCTAAAACAAATAGCTCCTAAACCTCAACATCTTGATAAAAGTTTGTCTATGCCTCATGTCATGTCTGGGTTGGCAGGGTCCCCATTCCATCTTGAAGTGGCTGGGGAAAGAGAAAGTAGAGGATTTTTGTGGAGGTTTTTATGCGTCACACCTACAAGTAGTACTCTTACTCCTGCTCACATCTCATTGGTCAGAACTCTGCCACATGGCCCCATGTACCTGCAAGGGAGGGTGGGAAATGTTGTTTAGCTGTGTGCCCAGGGAGAAAAGGAAATGAAGATTAATGAACACTGAACAATGTTTACCATAGTCTTACTTCTCCAAACGTTTTTGCAAGACTCAACTTAGATGATTCTCAAACCTGTTAGAGTTTGCCTGCTATGTTAATAGAATATGAAAGACCATTTATTATGTATTTATTGTATGCTTATTATTTATATCTCAAATTATTTATTTCAAGTTTGTATTTCACTAAACTGGATTAGAGATACAGATAGATTTTTTTTCACAGCTCTCAAAAGTTTATTTCCCATTTACACAACTATGCAAAGTTGGAGCTGAGTTGGTTCCAAGCACAGATAGATTTTTATAATACATTAGAAAATATTTCAGGTGTTCCAAGTTATGCAAAGTATATTGCTCTAAACTCTAACCACTATTGAAAATAAAGTAGTAGAAATGATTGACTATAGTATGAAGCTAAAACTGATCTTTTAATTTGGAAAAAACCAAGCTATGGACTTCTGTCTTTGATACTTGCAGAAACAAATCCACGAATGGAATTTTGCAGCCTCTTCAATTAAAGGAATAAGGTAAGAACATAAAAGAAAATGTAACTATTATTTTAATGCACGTAATAGTGAATGTTTGATGCACTTTAAGGTTACCACTTATTCATGAGTTGTGATGTTCTTATTTTTAACTGAATCCAAAATAAACTATTTTCTATTTTGTTACCCTGCCTGAGGTCCATAATGTGCTGCTAGTAAAAATCTCTTGGATTATTATAGTGGCTTTTCTCCTATCCAGCAGAAGAAACTCTTGTCTCAAACTTAAGTTATATTCAAGTACTCAGATCAATTCAGGAGTTATTTGCTAATAGCACTTGGGTGGGATCTCCTGGACAGAGCAATGGAACCAGGGATATTGTTATTAGGGAGGGAGTGAGGTAGTGTACTCCAGGGAGAAGTGTGGCTCTTGCTTTTTTATTCAGGAATGGTGACCATTTGTGTTTTTTTTCCAAGCAGCAATAACACACCTCTGCTGCATTTATCACCCTGCCAGCATTTTCAAGGGTGGGAATAGTTCTGAAGTGGATATAAGTTCTAGTCCCTTTGTTGTGTGATGTTGGGAAATCACCCAACCTCTTTAGGTTCCATTTTCTTCACTATTTTTACCAAATCCAAGAACTTGGACTAGAACTTTTTGTCCTCTCTTTGATTCTATGACTACCTCAGGCCACTAAATAAGTCTCCAGTTATCTCTGGTCACACTATAATTCTGTCCTGAGCACATTAGGGCTTCATCTGGAATAATGATTACATCACTTTTGAGGGAGGGAAATAATTTAAATACACAGTAGTACATTTGGATAATATTACCCAGAAAACCCAATGTAACCCAAATATGTTAAAGATTTTCAAAACTATATTACTCAGTAATGAAGCTGTAGAAGAATATGTAGGTGAGGACCTTCTGTTTGTACCTTTTTTTTAGTCACTCTGGACTGATGCTGTTTCAACCCATTATTTATCATGTCATCTATATCATGAAAAATAGTCTAAGTTCTGTACTCAGTAGGAATTGGCTTAGAAGGGACCAGATGAAGTGGCTTTATTTGAAGAGCTAATTGTGGAAGAGAATCTAGCCTGATTCTTCATAGTGCCACCTGGCAGGGTGAGAGCCATTTTGGAGGCTTTGGCCCAATGTGGGTAATGAACTTTCTAACAGTGAGATCTGTCAGCAAATGGAGTGTAGTGACATTCTGTTGCTGGATATGTTCAGGCAAGCTGAATATTATGTTTGAGGTGCTGTGGAGTTGGATCCACACTTGGTTGGAAATGAACCAGAGAATATTTAGAGACCTTTCTTGAACTAAGATGAAATGTTTATTTCTGTTAACCTTGTGTGACCACTAATACTGTGTCCTGATATTTTCCAAGTTTAGAAATTCCTTTGATACCACAGTAAATGACTTTATAAATACCTTGCCTGTCTTTGTGTGTGTGATTCTAAACTCCTAGAGGACAAGGGACGATGGTTTTTACCCTTTTCTGCTCTGCTTAGCACTGAGTATAGAAGAAGTTTTTGATACACATTGGTAAAAGTCAGTTGTAAATGCGAACTCAAACACAAACAAGATAAAGTTCTCTGGTATTTAAATTTCATAGAGAAATAAAAGGCAAAATGTGGGGTTTGTGTTAAAAGATTAATGAATCAGGAATTTGTGAAGTAAAAGAAAATCTGTTATTAGATTTTCTCAAAAGTTTAAAATTGGTGTCACAACTTACATACAAGCATTCTTGTGTTTTGCAATTTTACAGCCTATCTAAGTTTGATGAACGGTGTTGTTTTCTTTATGTCCATGATAACTCTGATGACTTTCAAATCTACTTTTCCACTGAAGACCAGTGTAGTAGGTGAGTTATAGCTGACTCAGCTATTTGCAATCTATTGATGGTAAATAATTGTTGAAGGGCCTTTGCTGTGATGATGTTTGCTCTACTGTCTTCTTGAAATTTTAATTTACAGAAAATGATCATACTGCTTTGAGATGTAATATACATACCTCACAACCATTTATTTAAAGTGTACAACTCAATTTTTAGTATATTTATAATTTGACAACCACCATCACAATGTATTTTTAGAATTTTTCATCACCCCCAAAAGAAGCCCAGTATGCATTAGCAATCACTCCCCATTTTCTCCCCAACCTCACCCACATAACCCTAGCCCTATGCAACCTTTCTTTCTAACTCTGTGAATTTGCCTGTTTTGGACATTTCATATACATTGAGTCATATAATATATGGTCTTTGGTGACTGACTTCTTCCATTTAGCATAGTGTTTCCAAGGTTCATTGATATTGTAGCATATATCATTACTTTGTTGTTTGTGTCTGAATAATATTTCATTGTATGAATATGCCACATTTTATTTATCTGTTCATCAGTTGACAGGCATTTGGTTTGCTTCCACTTTGGGGCTATTATGAATTTTGCTTCTATGAACATTCATGTTCAAGTTTTTGTGTGGACATATCAAAATGTTGGATCTTATGGGAATTTTGTGTTTAACCTTTTGAGGAACTTCCAGACTGTTTCCCTGTTAACATTCTCATCAGTAGTGTATGATGGTTCCAATTCCTCCACATCCTTGCCAATGCTTGTTATTGTCTGTGCTTTTGATTATGGCCATTCTGGTGGGTGTGACGTAGAATCTCATTGTGGTTTTAATTTGCATTTCTCTAATGACTAGTGATATGAGTATATTTTCTTGTGCTTTTGGACCATTTACATATCTCCTTTGAAGAAATAGCTATTCAAATCATTTGCCCAATTTTTAAAGCTCACTTTTTTTTTTTTTTTTTTTTTTTTTTTTTTGTTCAAACCAGGGGGCAGTTTACCACTGAGCTACATCCCTGGCCCTTTTTTTATTTTTTATTTTGAGACAGGGTCTCACTAAGTTGCTTAGGGTCTCACAAAGTTACTGAGGCTAGCCTTGAACTTGCAATCCTCCTACCTCAGACTCCCAAGTTGCTAGGATTACAGGTGTGTGCCACTACGTCTGGCAAAGTTCACGTCTTTTACTTATATGTATGTTTTGCCCAGAATTCCCCAGTGTAACCCTTTACTACATTTGTTTTACATTTTCTCTATATGCATATGATGTTTTTTACTGAACTGGTCAGGAGCAAGTTGTAGACATAATGCTGCATTACCTCTAAATACTTCAGCATATTTCCTTAAAAAAAGGAGGGGGAATGTTTACTTATGTAATTATAGTAGTTACCTAATCATACTGTATAAGATTGATATGGTACTATAATCTAGAAGCCATTTTCAAGTTTTATTTATTGTCTCCCTAATACCTTTTTTGGTAAAATAAGACTTTTTCCTGGCTCACATTCTAATCCACAATCATATAACATTTACTTGCCATGTCTGTATACTCTCCTTTCATCTGAAAGAGATTATCATTAGTCTTTGTCTTTCTTAATACTTTCAAAGAGTGCAGGTAATATGTTTGCAGTCCTTTGATTTGAATTTGTTTGCTGTTTGCTTATCAGTATATTCATGTTATGTATTTGGGGCAGGAATACCACAAAAGTAATGCTGTGTCTTTCCCAGTGCCTCATATCAGGGGATACACAATATCTTTGTGTCATTTCTGGTGATGGTAATTCGGGTCAACAGCTAAAAGTGATGTTTGCCATGTTTCTCCAAATTTTGTCTATTTTTAATTGGGCTATTTGTCTCTAAATTATTGAATTTTAAGAGTTTTTTTTATATACAATCCATACAAGTCCCTTTTTAGATATGGTTTGCAAATACTTGATTCCATTGTGTGGATTGTCTTGTTGAAAAACTTGCAGCACAAAAGTTTTTAATTTTGAAGTTCATTTTATCATTTTTTCTTTTGTCAGTTGTACTTTTAGTTCATATTTAGGAATGCTTTGCCTAACACAAGGTGTTCTATGATTTTTGTATTTTCTTCCAAGAGGTTTATAGTTTTAGTTGTTACATTTAGAGATAATCCATTTTAATATAGTGTGAGGTAGGGGACCCAGCTTCATTCTTTTGCTTGTGGATATGTGATTCTCCAAGTACTATTGGTTGAACATACTATTTGTCCTCCTTTAAGTGGTCTTGGCACTCTTAGAAAATCAGTTGGCTATAAATGTTTAATTCTATTCCACTAATCTATGTATCATTCCTTTGGCAAGTACCACACTTTCTTGATTAGTATAGTTTTGTAGGAAGCTGTAAAATCAGAAAAAATGAGTCCTTCAACTTTATTCTTATTTTTTAAGATTGTTTTGTTATCCTTTTATTAGAAAATTTACCCTTATAACTGTCATTCAGTACTCAGTGCCTTTTTTGTTTTACTTTTTTTTTTTTTTAAGATCACACATCTTGATTGATTGATTTTGGATTATTTTTTCTCCTTTATTCCCATTTACTTACATTTTTTTCTTTTTCCATATTTTTGTTGGTTCATTATAATTACATATAAGGGTGGATTCCTTGTTACATATTCATATATGCACATGATGCAACAATATAATTTGGTCAGTATCATTCCCCAATGTTTCTCCTTTCCGTTCCTTCTTCCTTTCCCTGGTTTGTCATTTTAATAATTTTTAATTGGGGTATAATATACAGTAAGTAAAGTGTATAAAGTGCACTTAAGTATACGGTTAGATAAATTTTTACATATATCTACACCCATGTATCCATCTCCCATATCAGTGCCCCAAAAGGTGCCTTGTGCCCCTTTCTAGCCATTAAACCCCCTTCAGTGATAAGTATTTTTGATTTCTGTCATCAGTTTTGCCCATTCATGACCTTCAAATAAATAAAATTATTCATACTCTTTTTATTTCTCCCTTCTTTTTCTTAATAGCCATGAGATTCAACCATGATGTATGTATCTGTTCATTCTTTTTATTTCTCATGGTGTTCCATTATGTGAATGTACAACCATTTATTTGTTCTCCTATTGATGAACATTTGGATTATTTCTAGTTGTGACTCTTATGAATAAAACTTGAATGAATATTCTTACACATGCCTTTTGGTGAAAATATACATTAAATTCTGTTGGGCATATACCCTAGGAGTGGATTACTTGGTTTTAGGATAGCTTTATATTTAGCTTTGATTAATTAGTTTTCCAAAATGGTCTCATGAATTTATACTCCCCAAAGTAAGGTATGAGAGTTGCTTAACAACAATTAACAATAAATATAATTCTGAGAATTTTGGTTATTATGGCGAGTACATAGCATGTGTCTCCTAAGAAGCCTGACTTTGGGTTTCCTCATATTCAAATACTAGAAGAAAAGGTGACATGTTAGTTATAAAAATGAATGTTTTATGGTCTTGCAGAAATTCTCCTGAAGCATGTACTGTTCCTCCTTACCATCTTTTTTAAAAAATATCTTTATTTTATTTATTTATTTTTATGTAGTGCTGAGGATCAAACCCAGGACTCACACTTGCTAGGCAATTGCTGTACCACTGAGCCACAACCCCAGCCCCTCCTTACCATCTTATGAGAGAATTATGAATAAAAATGTTCTACTGGATCAAGATCACTTTTATGCAAATAAACTATTACACAAGTCTAAGTGGCTGATATGGTTCTACAGCATTTGTGAGAAAAACATGGGTAGTAGTTGATCTTAGGCTTAATCTTTGTCAATGAATATTATGGCATTTTCTTCCCTTGTTCAAGATCTTATATCTTATTGAGAATTGGCTTGTCTACAATTTGGAAGGGGTTGATTTTGCTGTCCTTAGCACTGATTAAGTCACCTCTGCAATACTGATTGTAGAACCAAATATTAAAAGAGTAATACAGGGACATATTTGAAGGATGTCCAGTTAGTGGAGAAACTCCCAAATGAGTCGTAGGGGAAACCATAAGAGAATAAAAAGGAAAGTCTTATAGGGATATGATAGAAGTAATGTAGAAAATAATTTTTTTAAATGTTTTTCTAATTTTATTTTTAACTGATACATAAAAAATATATTTATTTGTGGGCTACCATGTGATGTTTTGATAATGTATGCATTTTGTAATGTTCAAATCAGAGTAAATGAATATATCTCCTCAAACAATTATCATTTATTTATGATAAAAACATTCCAAATCCTTTCTTCTAGCTTTAAAGAAAATAAAGGGCTTCTATCTAACAGTAACTTAGTACCCATAATTAGCTTTCCCTATCCCTCCCTCCCTGATGCTCTCCCTATCCTCTGGTAATTATCACTGTACCCTCAACTGACATCAATTTGTCAGAGACATCTGCACTATTCACAGTAACCAAGAAATGGAAACAACCTAAGTGTCCATACGCTGATAAGTGGCTAAAGATATGTGGTACATATACCCAAAGGGGGTTAACTCTAATCTGTGGAGGGTACCCACATAAAAGTAGTCTTCAGGTCAATAAAAGGGGAATATTTCTCATTGAGTTCTCAGATTGAGCTGCCTTTGGGAGATAATGGGTTCTCTGTTGCTAGATAATGGCTACTCTGATGCTCAAGCATCAGTTGACTAACCAGTTGGTAGAGGTACTGTATAGAGAGCATTCAAGTATCACATGGGATAACCTATACAGTACCATGTCAAATCAAGGAGTAGATTGATTGTTCCATGACTTATTATATAAGTTTGTTTTATATTTAAGTACAGCTTAATATAATGAGACTAAGTTAAACAATATGGTCCTTACTGGCAGCATCTTTGTGACATTTGTTGTTCTAGGTTTTGCTTTTTGGTGAAAGAGATGCTAACCAATGCAGCAGGCAGTACAGTGGAGCTGGAAGGAGAGGCTGATGGAGACACCTTAGAGGTGAGTCACAGAAGGCCTAGAACTTGGGAAAAGTTCTTTACTATGTCTTTGATGCTTAAAAAAAGTCACAATTTTTAATGTAAAAATTCTTTAATCCCAGTCAGAATGCTTAAGAAAATTTGGTTATGAAATAAACCAAAATTTCCTTTTAAGCACAATCTATAAAAAGGGTTTTTTTTCTAAGTGAGTTAATAATATTTATGAGATTCCAAGAGAAAAAGTTAGGCCACTGGAAGCAGGCTTTTGCATTTATGTCTAAAATTACTTGAGTAATATCTACTTGCATACAGTATGTTAAATATAACAATTTTTCATTTTTAAGAAAATAAAATCATCATAAGCTCTTCCAGACTGCATAGTTGTAGTCCACAATTACTACACCACTTTACATATGTTTAAATCTTACACAGTTATTCAGATTTGCCATTAATTCTGGTCCTCCCAGTAATTACAATTTAATGAGATTTTATTATACTTTTAAGTTAGACTGAAATGAATTCCTCGAGATTTCCTTCAGAAAATATCAAAGGAATTCGTTTTAATAATTGAATCAGGTACTAGAGTTATTAGCTTAGAATGTAAGTTTGTAATAGAAATGAACTGAGTGATATGCTTTGAAGGCAACAGATGTGGGGGGTAGAGAAAGGTGTGAGTTATAAATCTTTTATGGAGCAGGCTGATTTCTAGTTATATCAGACAATGATATAGACACTTAATGTTAATCCACGTGAGCATCCATAGAAGTAGATGAGAAGGGACACACACACACACACACACACACACACACACACACACACACACACACACACACAATAGCTCACTCTCTCACTCTCTCACACTCTAATTTGTATATAAGCTGTACTTCTGTAAGTAGACATAGCGGAGTGTGCAAAACAACAGAAATGGCCATTGCTTCCTGTGTGCTTTAAATCCTGCTCAGCCTGTAGTTACCTTTGTTTTAATAATTGAGAAGGATCAACTCAAATGCAGCTGTGTGCAATAGCTTTTGATGATAAGATTGGGAGCACAAAATACCAATGCTAATTGGGAATTGAGGTTTTGCAGTATGTCCTAGATTCGTTATGACTGAAAGGGGCAGGGACCCCAGCATATGCACTCTGTATTAAGACAATTTTAACTTTATTGACTGTCAGTTCTTTCCTGGGCTATTGAAAGAGATTTGTTTTCTGACTTGCAGATAGGGAACCTGTTTGGGATACTTAACATGATTAGAAGCAGGTTTTAATTGTAGCATTAAAATAGTTGGAAAACTCCAAAAAGTGAGCCAGGTAAGTTATATGTGAGCCATATTTTTAATTTTCTTAGATTCTGATTCCTAAGGTCATGCTATAAATAACTGAATATCTGAGAGTTGATATTGAACAAAAAGTATATAACTTATATACTTGCTTAGCAATTAAATAATGTTTATAAATTTTTTAAAAACTGATGGACAAGTTTTGGGCTTCTGAGGGGCTTCTCCACTACAAGTTGTGTGTCCTGTTTTTTTCCCTCTGTAGTATGAGTATGACTACGATGCAAATGGGGAGAGAGTTGTTTTGGGGAAAGGAACCTACGGGATTGTGTATGCTGGCCGAGACCTAAGCAATCAAGTGCGAATAGCCATCAAAGAAATCCCAGAGAAAGACAGCAGGCAAGTTGGCACTGACCTTCCACATTCTGTACTTGCCATCTCAACACCCCAACACCCCAAATCCCAGGCCCACCATGCATAGTACAGAAGATTTAAGAACAAAAGGATTGGGCTGGGGATGTGGCTCAAGTGGTAGTGCGCTCGCCTGGCATGCGTGCGGCCCGGGTTCTATCCTCAGCACCACATACAAACAAAAATGTTGTATCTGCCGATAACTAAAAAATAAATATTAAAATTCTCTCTCTTTAAAAAAAAAAGAACAAAAGGATTATGTGATCATAAAACTTGTAATTTTCTTGTAATAAAAATAATTTGCTTTTGTTCTCTGTGTAATCTAAATAGATTGAGAAATGGACTAATTTCATTTAGACCTTTGCGGATTATAGAGTCATGTCTTAAAAGAAAGTTGCATTTGCATGCATCAACTCCATCTAAAGTTTTGCATTTTGAGGGGTGGGTACTGGGGATTGGATCCAGGCCTTCATGAATGTTTCCAAAATGCTCTTAATACTCAGATACACCCCCAATCCCTTTTATAAAATTTTATTTTGAAACAGGGTCTCACTAAGTTACTGAGGCTGGCCTGAATTTGCCACCCTCTTGCCTCACCTCCTGAGTTGCTAGGAATACAGGCATGCACCACCATGCCCAGCTCTAAGCTTAACATTTTTACATAATCATTTGCAGATAAAAAGAATGTGACAAAAGTGTGACTGAGGTCTTTTTTTTTCCCTCTTTTTGATGCTAGGAATGAAACTCAGGAACTTGAGCATGCTAGGCAAATGCTTGACCACTGAACAACAACCTCAGCCCTGACAAGAGTGCTTTTAAACTTATGTTGTCATAATTGAAATCAGCTATGATTTGTTTGGATATGACATTACAGAAAACTAAATGTAGTTGAAAGATCAGATTTTTATGATATAGACTTTTTTTTTTCAACATTCTCCCCTTTAATCTGACCCATGAATTTCAGGCTATTTTTCTACTGTCAATACAGCTAATTTATTTTCTCGACATTTCTTAGTCTTATTAAATGTTCACTTCTTTTTGAATTTACCTAATCCTAATCTTAAACAAAAGCATAGCAGTGTTTACTGTCAAATGTTTCTGTAGAGAAGCTACATATTCAACCATGGCCACAGCATAGAAGATAATTATCCCATGTCAGCCCACAGTTGCAGCATTGCCCCCAGCACTGGGTCTTGATGGATATGTGCAAAAATTTCTCTATCTGGGTGATCACTATTGATTGGGGATGGGTTAAACATGATTTTCTACCCACTGTAAGACCCTTCATTCATTCATCCATTCAATTGTTGGTTTTCAGTGGGATAGCATGTGATAATTATGTGAATTAAAGGTCTGAAATGAATTAGTTCAAATTCTTCCTTTTATACCAATCTGAAAACCCAGGTTGAAGAAGACTAAATGAATTCCCCAAGACTGTATGTACAGACAAGGCTAGGATCCAGGTCCCCTGAGTTCCTCATCCAGTATTGTGTCCCTTATTCTCATGATGAATAAGTTGTTGCATTCTTATAGATTTGGGGAATTCCTGGTATGGACTGCCTCCTTCTGTGGTAGCACTAGCAGTTCTAGGTTTTGTTTTGTTTGGTAATTTTTTTTTTTTTTTTTGGTACTGGGGATTAAATTCAGGGGCATTCAATCACTGAACCACATCCCCAGCCCTATATTTAGAGACAGGGTCTCACTAAGTTGCTTAGCACCTCCGTTTTTGCTGAGGCTGTCTTTAAACTCTCAATCCTCCTGCCTCCACCTCCCAAGCCTCTGGGATTACAGGCATACACCTGTGCCCAGCTTGTTCTAGTTTTTTGTGTGCATAACAGTTCCTGGATTTTTAGAGCTAAAAGGGGCCTTAGAGATCATTTTGTCTAACTCCCTGAATTTATGGCTGAACCTATGATGATCAGATACCTTCTGTGTGCCAGCTTCTGGGCTTGTGCTGGAGACCGAAAGATAACTATGATACTGTCCTGATATCAGGGTGCTACCAGTTTAGTGGGGATTGCAGATACTTTGCCCATGAGTCAAAGTGACAAGTGCCATAATAGAAGGGTACACAGAGTGTATTCAGGACATAGATGAGAAGTGAATTTTCCTGGGTGAGTTGTGGCAATTTTGAGAAAATAAATCATCTTTAAGCTGATCTTTGAGGGATGAGTAGGAGTTTGACAGAAAAGAAGGCCTACCTGAGGGAGAAACAAAGATGTTAATACACAAAATCTATTCAGAGAATAACAAATTTCTGATATGGCTTGAATGCAAGATGTGGGGCAGTGGAGAACTTTTGAGATAAAAACTTTAAAATGGTGTCATCTGGCATGATTTTGAAGGTCCTTGTGTCCGTGTGAAAGAATATAGTCTCTGGAATTTATGGAGGGGAGTGATATGGTGAAGTGTGCATTTTAAGCAAATCCCAAGAATGAGGGATGAACTAAAAAGGCCAGACCCTAAAGCTGGGTTGATCATTAGGTGGCTACTGTTGTGGTCTGGGATGAGTGTGTAGAATGACTAGAAGGCAGCTGAGGACAAAATCTTTCAGAGCACCACCCTGCACAGCAGACAGAGAAAGGCATTTCTGAGAGTTCAGGCCCTATCAATAGTGACAGTAACAGTAGAAATCACTGAGTGCTTACCACACACCAGATATTCTACTAGGTGCCTGAGAAACTTATCACACTTAGTCCCCAGCAGCTCTAAATGGCTGGTATTATTATAGGTTAAATATTCCTTGTCTGGAAAACTTAGGGCCAGAAGTGTTTCAGATTTGGGATTTTTGTCAGATTTTGAAATATTTGCATATACACCATGAGGCCTGTTGGGGATGTGACCTAAGTCTAAACACAAAATTCATTTACATTTCATACACACCTTATATCACATAGCCTAAGGTAATTTGATACATTACTATAGTAGTCCTATGTTTTGATTGTGACCCATCACACAAGGTCATGTTTGGAATTTCCTGCTTGTGGTATTATGTTGGCACCTAAAAAGTTTCAGATTTTGAAGCATTTTGGATTTTTGGACTAGGGATGCTCAGCCTGTATCCTATATTTTACAGATGAGAAGCTGAGTAGTCTTACAGGAAGGGAAGAGAAAGTTTCCATAAGGAAGGGATGGCCAGCAGTAGGGTGGATGCTGGTGAGGTGCCACAAGGGTCTAGAGCCCCCAGGATTTTGCAGGTGATGCTGGCTTTTTAAATTTTTCATGATAGGTACTCTCAGCCTCTGCATGAGGAGATAGCCCTGCATAAATACCTCAAGCACCGCAATATTGTCCAGTACCTGGGCTCGGTTTCAGAGGATGGCTACATCAAGATATTTATGGAGCAGGTGCCTGGAGGTGAGTAGTTGCTGTATTCTGGCAAATTCTGAAAATCACTCTTGAAAATACAATATGGACATCATTAATTGTCCTGCCATTTTAAAAAATGACAGACATTGTAGATGTTGGTAAACATTGGTTTCTCAGAAGAGTTGGATACAGACTTTCCAAATGTCACATAAACAGACTATTTCTGGTTTGTTTATTCAACTCACAAATACTCATTGAATATCTAATGAGTGCCAGCATTGGAGACAAAGAGATGAAGAGAGCAGTCTCCTACCTCTAGGCCTTCATAGTCTAGGGAGTTTAAAGGTGGTTTGGAGAAAAGAGAACACAGGTTTTAAAAGTGACATTACAAAATAACATCAGTAACAAAATCAAACATCAGTGCTTTGTCCACAAAGTCCCCAAATGTAGGCAATAGAATATAGGAGAAAGAGTTTCTTGGATCTGGATTCAACTATCTAGTTTGAATCGGTCCAACAATCTATAGGCTGTGTGGCCTTGGGCAAATTATTTTACTACTTTGTGCCCTCAGTTATTTGGTAGAATAAATAAATTGTAAAATTAGAATATAATAATTACTGTAATAATTGTAGTAGTAATTATTGGAATAATAATAACTATCTTAGTGGGTTGTTGGGTGGGTTAAATGAGATGATGCATATATAGCTCTAGAACAGAGCCTGGCAGCAAGCTCACTGAAATAATTATAAAATTTATGAAAGTTTTAAATATTAATTATTATCTGAATACAAATGTAAAAACTTTGGTTAGAAACTTGTATTTGCTCCTTTATTCATTCTACCAGAAACCAAGAGTCTATTATTATTAAGAGTCTAATTTTATACATTAAGATCTAGGCAGTGGGCTCAATTTTGAGGGTTATGTTAAGGATACAGTACAGTGTCTTTTTCCTCAGGTAACTCATAGCCTCATAGAAAAACGTGTCCATTGCTGTTCACATTTGTTACTGTTCCAGGTTTTGCGATGAAGGGTAACAACAGAATTAGAGATGGAAGCCAGACACAGTGGCACATGTCTGTAATCCCAGCTACTCAGGAGACTGAGACAAGTGGATCACAAGTTCAAAGCCAGCCTTGGCAACACAGGGAAATTCAGTCTTGAAAAAAAATATTTATTCCCTTTTATAGATGGGGGACCGAAGTATAGTAAGGTCGCATAGCCCTATATGAGTGGCACAGTTGAGACCGGCTGATACCCAGGAGCCTGTTCTTTCCAGCAGGCAAGCCACCTTCTCTGGGACATGTGGTCAGAAAGTCTGAAGGCGGGGGGGGGGGGTGGTGGTTTTTTTCTGGCCTAAGTGTTCAGTGTTCAATAGAATAATGGGGAAGGCTTGTTAATCAGGATGGTCCTACCCCTCTACCATTGGGGTCGGTGACCTACCATTGGGGCCTTTTCACAATGAGGACAAAGAGGCCTAGCCTTCTCTAATCCTAGTCCTTGTCACCTCCAAAAACCACTCATTCTAGACCTGTCCACTTTTGATGTGATTACAGCAAGAGGTGTAAAATCTGGCTTTGACTCAAACAGAATGGTTGTCCAGCAAACAAATGTCATGGGATCCGAGTCATTTATGACATTGGATCATGCCTCTTTAGTTCAAGGAGCCATATTTCACTATTCTCCTGACTTCATGTAGCTGAACAGAGCTAATCCCAAAGTTGGCCCAACTGAATTTCAAGGATCACAAGGGACTCTTCTTTGTCCTCTACTTTAATCTGGCCAACAGGCTGATTTGCTTCCAGTCTATTCTCTGGCTGTGACTGTAGAGAGGCAAGACTCATTGCATTTAGCAATATACAATGGTGTAGGTATGAAGTGCTTATGTCAGGTTAGAGATGTCACTTCACTACGTTTCCCTAAACTCGTTACAACTGAATCTTTGTCATCCTTATGAATGTTTTACTGTGTCCATTTCTAGGAAGCCTCTCTGCTCTTTTGCGATCCAAATGGGGGCCAATGAAGGAGCCCACTATCAAGTTTTATACCAAACAGATCCTGGAAGGCCTTAAGTATCTCCATGAAAACCAGATAGTGCACAGAGACATAAAGGTACAGGCTTTTCTAAACCAACAAAGTGTCATTTTGCTCATATCTAGTCATGATAACTGTCAGCGCAGCATGTGCTGAGTGACTTGCTCATGGGAAGGTTGGGAGGGCTTTTTTTTTTTTGAGACCATTTTTCAAGGTTTGAACCATTAAATGTCAGTTTGTTTAAATCTGTCTTTAAGCATTTTGTACTATTCTTCTCCTGAAGGGTGATAATGTTCTGGTAAACACCTACAGTGGAGTGGTGAAAATCTCTGATTTTGGAACCTCTAAACGACTCGCAGGAGTGAACCCATGCACAGAAACCTTTACTGGTAAGCATAGCAGAGTAGGGCTATGGTGTCCATTTATTGTTAAACTTTCTTCACAAGCTATAGTCATTGGAAGGGTATCTTCTCAGTGCAGATGCATGATGTATTGTCCCCAACTTCAAATCACCAGTTAGTTGTACATTACCAGACCAAAGGTAGAATGCCACTCACAAGTGACCTGTGTCTTTTTGAAATTCCTGCTTAAAAGCAACAGTAGCCCAAACCTTGATCCTTGGAAAGAAGTACTGATTTTGAGTAAATAAAGATTTATGGTCTCCTAAGGAGGAACATAAAGGTCACAAAGGTCTTGCTTTATAGTGTTATGAAACAGCTCTCATATCTCATAGCTCTGAAATAAGCTATAAAAGGGACATGGCTGGGGATGGGGCTGTAGCTCAGTGGCAGAACGCTTGCCTAGCATGGGTGACGCACTGGGTTCGAGCCTTAGCATCACATAAAAATAAACAAAATAAAAGCATGCTGTCCATCTACAATTACAAAAAAAAAATTTTTTTTAAAGAGTCATGGCTGTTTTCTATCTCTGTAGTCACCAAAGCTGTAGAATGGACAGCTTGAGCCTTATTTTGAATAAAGTCTCAGCTTTGAAGGACTTTTCTTCAACAAGAGACTTGTTGTATGTTAGTTGCTGGACACCCACAGTGGAGACACATTCTCCATCAAAAGGGAATTTTAATGCCTCAAAAATGACTTTTAAGTTTGTAACACAAGGGGAAGTGTGTGAGTTTCAAAATGGGAAAATATGGCACCAGGGCTTCATCAGAATCACCCATAGAAAGAGCATGTTGAATCTTCATTTTTTGTTTCTGGTACAAATATACATATGCTACATATATCATATGTGTATGAATATGTATGTAGGACTGGCCCTTTTTTCTCTCTTAGCACTTTACTACCCTAATTGAAAATGACTTATATCCTCCTCTTTGGAAGCCACCAATTAGCTTAGCAATACATAGCAAGAGGGGCTCTGATATGACAAGGAGTAATTTCAAAAACATAAAACCCCTCAACAATTTATCTCATAATTAGCATCCCTAAGGAGAAAAAAAAATCTCAAAGAAAACACATGTATAATTCATTATCACATATCACATTTCCCAAGTAATTGGTTTGAGGAAGCATGAATTTTGCATTGCAAAATAATGCATGGGTGTTTGGGGGATAATAAAGAAGGGGTCTCATTTTGGTTAGGAAATTCCCTTGCATGTAATTAGTCTTTGCAAAACAGAGCAGTTCTGTAAAGAAATCTGAGTTAGTTGGTACAGAACTCTGGGTTGGATGGATCTGATGGAGCTTTTTCCTGATAGTACTCAGAGGTCTTCTGAGTCTTGGCAGGAGAACCAAGGGCTTCAGGCAACTTCTTGGCCTGGATCCCTCCCCTCCTGTGTCCCTCTCAAGGGCTCTCATCACAGGTGTAAATGGACTAGAACAGGCTCCCCCCCATACTGGGGATCCAACCCAGGTCCTCAGGCATGCTAGGCAAGTGCTCTATCACTGAGCTACAATGCAGCCCTCTTGTTCTTGTTCTGGTAGTTAACAGCTTTATTGAAGTATAACTTGCATATCATAAAAGCACCCATTTAAAATGCACAATTCAATGGTTTCTGGTAAACTTACTATATCATGTAGCCATTATCACAATACATTTTTTGTTTGTTTATTTTTAGTGCTGGCTTTGAACCCAGGGACACTCTACCACTGACCTATACCCCTAGCCCTTTTTATTTTTTATTTTGAGACAGGGTCTTGCTAAGTTTCTGAGGCTGGCCTCAAACTTGTAATCCTCCTGCCTCAGCCTTCTGAGTCATTGGGATTACGGGTGTAAAGCACTGTCCCTGGCTACAATGCAGGTTTTGAACATTTCTACCACCCCTAGAAGATCCTTATGCCCCTTTGCATTAATCCCTGTTCCCACTGCAGCTCCAGGCCATCACTGATCAACTTTGTTTGCTGATTTGCACGTTCTGGGTTATTTCATACATGTGGAATGATAAAATATGTGATTTGCAGCATCTAGCTGCTTTTACTTAGTGTGATATTTTTCAAGGCTCATGCATGCTCTAGCATGTATCAGCCCTTCATTCCTCTCAGGCTGAATAGTATTCCATGGTGTGGATGGACCACATTTGCCAGTTAATGGTCATTTGGGTGGTTTCTACTTTTGACTGTCACAAATAGTGCTGCTATGATCATTCACATGCAAGCTTTTGTGTGAATGTATGTTTTCATCCCTCTTGAGTAGATACCTAGGGACAGAACTCAGAATAGGAACTCTAGTCTATGGCTATAAATGTCCTTGGTTCAAGGATGAGCAGGTTCAAGTCCTGGCTCAACCACTTGCTAGCTGGAAGACCTTGGACATGTTACCCACCCTGTGTGTACCTTAGGTTTTTCATAAGTAAAATGGAAATGCTCACATTACTTACCTTATAGGGTTTTTAAAGAATTAAATGTGTTAATATTGATAAAGTACTTTGATCGCTATCTGGCTTACAGCAAGTAAACTTGGAAGTATTTATTAATTTAAAAAGAAATACCTATTTTCATATAGAAATTGCAGGCTATTAGAGCTGGAAGGAGCCTTTGAGAGAATTGAGTTCCTGTGTGTATCTAGTGTGTTGAACCTGTGGGACTCAAAGGTTGTCATGATAAAAGCCATTGTATTTTTTTCCCCACTGCCCCATAATATCCTGCCCAGAGCAGTGGGCCTTTCCCATGACTTTTCCAGCCACCCTCAGAAGACAGAGTAAAGAGCAAACAGGTTGAAATGAGTGATAAAAAGAATGGGCTCATATACTCATCAATGGTCTGGTCCTCATTCCCAGGGCCAACTCCTCTCCCCTCGCCCTCCCACCTACAGCAGTAGGCAGTGATCTCTGCTCAGGTGACTCAGTGTTGTTTCTCTTCTGTCACCTCTTTTTTCACTCAATAGCTACAGAAAGGCAAGGCAAGGGGCTTGACATATTGTCACTTGACTAGTACTGCTATAAGCTGAGTTTGTGTGCTAGGGACCTGGGTGATGTTTCCTGTTAATTGCTCCTGATGGATCCCCTTGAATGTGACCCTCCACATCGTGGGCAGGGGCCTGCCTTTGGTTGACTAACCCCTGCCCCTCCCCAACTCTTGCCCCTCACATTCTACCCACCCCTTTTCAACTTTCCATGGAGGAATTCAGGTCTTGGAAGACTGCCTTTAAGCTAGATTCCTCTGGGGGAAACAAACAAAACCCCTAAACCAATGGGCCTCACTTTTTAAGAGTTAAGGGTTTCTGCTCTTCAAGCTATTGTTGAGAGGTAATGACAATATTCCCAGACTTTACAATCCTCTGTCTCTGCTGCTATAAGTGGCTTTTGCTCCCTTGAGAACCAGTCCTCTGTGCACCTTACCTCTAGGGGATGTGCATGTATTGAGCTCTGAGTAGTTTGAAGACCTTGGGTTGGGAAGAAGTGGTCTCCTCCAGGGACCATCCCTTGGGTTGGGCAACTAGGGAAGCCCCCACCACCATGGGAGGCTGCACCTTCTTTAATATTAAAGTTTGAAACATCAGGTTCTAACAGTATCTGAAAGACTGTGCTAGTCAGCTCTTTGTTGCTATGACAAAATACCTGAGGAAAACAACTTAAAAGGAGAAAGACTTTATTTTGACTCATGGTTTCAGAGGTCTCAGTCCATGGTCATCTGGCTCCATTATTTCTGGGCCCATGGTAAGGCAGAATGTCATGCCAGATAGCAAAGTTGTTCCCCTTATGGTGTCTGGGAAGTAGAGAGTGGGAGGAAGGTGTTAAGGACAAGATATTATCCCCAAAGGCACATCCCCAAGGATATACTTCCTCCAATTAGGTCCCATATCCTACAGTTTCCACCAGCTCCTACTCAGCTATGAATCCATTAGTGCATTAATCCATTGATGCATTGATGAAATGAGAGCTCTCTCTCCAAAGAGGCTGCCTTCAATACCCTGCTATTGTATCTCCCCTCTCTAAACACTCTGAACCCCTTGGTCTGGATGGGATGCCTCTGAGCAAATAGGCCCAAGACTTGTGTACCCAGAGATCTGAGGTGCCCTTAGAAAATGTGTACCTTGTGGCCCCAGTCTCTCACCTTGTCCTGGTATCTGTATTATGTCTTGGTGCCTTTGTCAAAAAGCATTACCTTGGGCTGCAGTTGTAGTTCAGTGGTAGAGTGCTTGCTTAGCATGTATGAGCCACTGGGTTAGATCCTCAGCACCACATAAAAATAAATAAGAGTATAAAAAACACAATAACATTATTTTAAAAAGTATCTCCTTATGCCATGTATTTTCCCTGCTGATAATTTGAAAATCCTGTTTGGGCAATTGTCCAGGAGCTGCTAACAAATTTTATGTTCCAAGGGGGCTGGGTTAGTGTTTGTGGGTCTTCTGGACACCTTTTTCTGCATTCAGCACCACCACCCTGGTGTAGGTGCTGAGCCAGTGACAGTGAGGTGGGGCACCCGTTGGAGGAAATGGAGTTTATGAAGGATATGAACCCCCTATAGATGTAAGGCAGGCCAGTTTCCCAGGATTTGTGCATGATTCAGATGCCCCACAATGCCATCTTTGCTTGGGGGTGCAAATAGGAGGGTAGGATTAAAACTTTGAGGGGAGTGTCATTGAGCTGGAGCAAGTCCCTTGGAAGGGCAAGATGAAGATGGTTCTGGGGAGTAATAGAGTGACAAGAAGGTAGGGACTGGAGTCACCTGAGGGTCCAGAGTAAGCTTCCTCCCAGGAACAAGGAAGAATAAGTCCCCTTTCCATCCTTCTGGGATCTCTTTAGCACTGCATAATTGCAAAGCCTAACAGGGAACCTCAGGCAAAGCAGAAATGTTTTTGGGTTTTTTTTTTTTTTGGTTTGGTTTGGTTTGGTGTTTTTTTTGTTTGTTTGTTTGTTTGTTTTTGAGTTCCAGACCCAGCAGCACAGAGCAGAGCTGGGAGATGATAGCTTAAGAAACAACACAGTGTCAAATCATAATTAATGAATTTTGGATTCATTAGAAGGCACATTCCCTACCAACACCTCTCCCTTTGTTATTCACAGCAGCAACTGCCTGCAGGGGATATTGTATCACCGGAAGTTCCTTTCCTGTGGCTCTGGGGTTTCCTAATAGTGCATCAAGAGTGATGCACCTCCATCTTGCTCAACTCTGCAACTGACTGAACACTTCCCCACCAGTTTATTAGCTCTGGAGACCAAAGCCATCATTTGTCGCACTGATGAGTTGTGCACACTAATTTTATATTTAACTTTAGATCAATTGAAATGAAATCAAATCAAGTTAAAACAATTTAAAATTAATTTCTTCTGCCTCACTAGCCACATATCCACAGCCAATATGTGGCTAATGGCTACCATATTAGATGGCATAGAATAGAGCATCCCCATCATTAAAGAAAATTATTCTGGTCACAGCTGTTCTAGAGTCTTTAAAATGTTCATGGGAAGGAAAAATGCTGGTAAGACATTGGATCTTTAAGAGAAGGACATAGCAGTAGCTTATTCAAACTTTTAAAAAATTTTTTATAGGTTGCTCAAAACATTACAATGATCTTCACATATCATACATTTGATTCAAACTTTTTATTTTATTTTTTTAACTGAAAATGAGCCATTTTTATTGAGTAAAACTCAGGAAACCTGTTTTGGTTGAATGATCTTGAGACGGGACCTTTCATTTCTCTGGACATTAGTGTTCCTGTAACACCTTGGCTAAGGTCATCTCTGAATTTGATGTTTTCTTCTAAACCTCTTTGCCAGCCTATAACATCTGCTAATGTCCCAGCCACATTTTCCCTTTCCTCTTGCTTAATTTCAAGGAAAACCAAAGATTTTACTCCTAGAGCCCTTGATTGAGCTCTCTGCTTCCCATCTTTCTATTCAATAATCCCTTCGTCTTCCTGCTACCATGTCCAATCAGTGCCTTCCCTGGGGTAACCTCTGGTAGCTCATGAACCACAGGAGAAAGTCCAAAGCCAGTCTTTTTTTAACATTTATTTTTTAGTTATAGGTGGACACAATATTTTATTTTTATTGGTGTTGAGTATCGAACCCAATACCTCATGCATGCTAGGCGAGCACTCTACCTCTGAGCCACAACCCCAGCCCACAAAGCCAGTCTTCAGAACATACAACTTGCCATTTAGACTGTGCCCTTGCTGCTCTCCTTAATCCTTTTTATACCCTGCCCCTAGTGAAATATCACTTGTTGTTCCCTGGACTCTATACTTTATACCCATGTTCTTGCTCAAGTTCTTCCCTATACCTGAACACCCTCCTATCCCTTTGACCACCTCTTCAACCATAGTAGCAGGAACCTACTTCATTGGCAGTGCCAGCTGATGCCCCTTTGGATCACATTCTTGGTAAGGTGACACTTTACCCAGGCTGCTCCTTGACAATGTCTGAACCTGGTTAAGATTCTAGAGCCAATATGGGACTCTGCCAATGGGCAAATTATGGCCAAGTTCTCCTTGGTGACCTGGCTGAAGCCCTCAGTGCTGAGACTCTTCTACCTAATTCTTCCTCCCTCCATTTCCCCCAGGGCTCAGGCCTGCTTTGTAGTATGGCACTCTCCCTGCCAATCCTGCCCTCCCCTTTATCCTTCATAGACCTTCTCCCCAGTAAATCTCTTATATGTCTAATCTTATTTTGGCATTTGCCTCTCAGAGACCGAAAGAAATTGACAGTCATAGATTTCCCTGATTCAGACCAGACAGAATCAAGCACTTTTTCATCCACATTCTTCCAGTCCTCTGTGTACACCTCTGTTACAGCACTTAGCACATTTTACCATCACAGCTGCTGCTACCACCACCATTATATATGTCTCCTCCCCTGGGAAGCTTTTTGTGATCAGGCTGTTTCTCCCATTCCAGTTTCCCTGTATTTGGCATGTGCTAAAACATGCTAATTGAATTGGGCCCCTTTATCCTTTGAGGGAGTAAGCAATCCTCTCTCAATATGCCTAGTATTGAAAGAAGCTATGTTGCATGTTTCGGGTTAAAAAGTGATGAAGGCATATTATTTATGCATAGAACAAGGCTCCTTCCACTATTAATGAGACAATTAAGCCCCCAGACTTGTTTTTACTAATGGTCCAGTTCATTTATAAGCAATATAGTGCTCTGGTTTTTGCATTTATTTTCTATATAGGTACTCTGCAGTATATGGCACCTGAGATTATTGATCAAGGACCTCGTGGGTATGGTGCCCCAGCTGATATCTGGTCCCTGGGCTGCACCATCATTGAGATGGCCACCAGCAAGCCTCCATTCCATGAGCTTGGTGAACCACAGGCAGCAATGTTCAAAGTAAGACACATTTGGTCATTTGGGTGGTTTAGATGTTGGGGAAACAATTTAAAACAAGATCTCTTCTCAATCTTGAAAACTTATACACAAAGGAGAGAAGGAAAACAGTTTTATTATTTAATAAGTATTAAACTAGAATGCAAGGCACATCACAGATAATCTGCTAAGATTTCAAAGACTGAAGGAAATCTCACCCCTTTATATTGCTAAGTAGATAAATTTCGTTATAACCACATTCTCAAGATAAATAACTAGACCTCAAGTGAGAGGACTTGACAACACATGGCTCCTCTTAGATTCACCTGGTAATTGAGGTGACCTTTTATGTTAGGAAATTGGCTTTTTGCAGAGAAAAAATAATAAACCTGTTTTATCTTAAGACAGGAGGTAGTTTTGGAGTGAGGCACCACCAAAGTTGGCCCCCTTCCCTCCTACAGAAACTGGGAGACAGAGGCACTGTCTTCCTCAATGATTTCATTTCAAAGCAATGGCTCCTGAGTCTTGGGAAAGATGTTTCTGGTAAGAGGCTTATCTAGCTGTTAAAAAGATTTACATGCACTAGGTGCAGTGGCATGTGCCTGTAGTCTCAGCAGCTCGGGAGGCTGAGGCAGGAGGATCACAAGTTCAGAGCCAGCCTCAGCAACTTAGTGAAGCTCTGAGCAACTCAGTGAGACCCTGTCTCTAAATAAGATATTAAAAAGGGCTGGGGATGTGGCTCAGTGGTTAAGTGCCCCTGGGTTCAATCCCTAGTAACAACAGCAATAACAACAACAAAAACATCTCAAGAGAGAAAGAACAAAAAATTTTAAGTTCTCTAAAGTAAATGCTCTAAGAATCCTCTTCCTTTATGTTGGAAGGGGATAATTAAGCCTCTTATTTTTCATTTGCATTTGCCCTTTCTCTGGGTAAGGCTCAAAGGCCATGGTGTGGTATGCGTCTTTGAAGGAATGGATTTTGGAGAGGCAGAACTGCAACAACCTTCTATGGCTAATGGAAGGCCACTCCGTGTGTGGAGGCTAACATATCGGTGGTGGTTTTACTGCTGGGCAAGTGGGACCTTGAAAGGGGATATACTTGCTTATGACCCCACAGGAAGCTGATGCCAGGACAACCCTGTGTGCCCAAGGTCAGGTCTGCAGTTTCTAATTCTTGAGTATCTTTGGAAACATTTAAGGGGCTCCAGCCCTGAGAGTCCATTATCAACAGTGACCTTCCTTTTTTCTAGTTGTGGGTGGACAGAATGTCTTTATCTTTTTTTTTTGTTTATTTTTATGTGGTGCTAGGGATCAAACCCAGTGCCTCACATATGCTAGGTAAGTGCTCTGCCTCTGAGCTACAGCCCCAGCCCCTATGGAAGATTTTTATTCATCCCAAAAGGGTGGGGGGGGGTCTCAAAAAGTCAAATGGCCATTGTTTGTAGATAATGAAGCTACGGTACATTGACATAGCTTCATAGTACATGTCCAGAGGCCTTTTAGTAGCTTTTCTGCCACATTTGGCAGCCTCCATCATGGCCTGCATCATTGCTGGACCCTCTGGCTCAGCCCCTTGGGTAGAAAGACCTCAAAAATATGAATGTGGGATTGTGTGCTCTGGGTACCTTGGCTGCTCCCCTCAGCCTGACTGGGCCCCAGCAGAAGATTCTCAGAGCTTCCTTCCATTATATCAGCTACCCAGGTAGCTTCAAGGCCAACACCTCAAGTCCACCAAAGTTTTCTGGTCCCTACAGTGCTAACAGAACCCTGAAGACAAGGACTAGAAGACAGCAGCAACCTTCTTGAACATATCAGTGACCATTCACTTTAACCAGTGAAGTTAAAGATCTCACCTGCAGCTTCCATCACAGGCCTTAGAATAAATAGCAGCTGGTGCTTGGAAAAACATGGTGCCCACTGGAGAGCCATGTCTGTCTGTTTTCTGATCTGTTGACTTTCTGTAATCCAGAAACCCAGCCGAAGGCTGTGACTTTCTCAATTCATCCACCGGGCATGAACAACTCCCAGGATCTTCTTCCTGCCTCCTGTTTTTGGTTCGCTCATTATCTGTACAAATTCTTTGCAAAAATGTTGATTTGTTTGGGTCACACATGAAGTCACTTTATGTTGCCAACAAAAAAGTTAGTATTGAGCAAATAATGTCCACTGTGTTATTCATTTCTTGGATAGTAGAATCCTTCAACAAAAATTTTAAAAGCTTCTGGGCAGTGTCTGAAACAAAGGGAATTATTCTTCCCCCAAGGGGAGTGTTATGGGTTTAATTGTGTCACCCAAAATGATATATGGAAGTCCTTATCCCCAGAAACTCAGAACATGACCTTATTTGGAAGTAGGGTTTTCACAGAAAAAAATCACATTAAAATGGTATCAGAGTGGACCCCAAGGCAGCAATGACAGGTGTCCTTATTAAAAAGGGATATTTGGACTCCAAGACAGACATGCACAGAGAGAAGACTGTGTGAAAGCAGGGGATTGGGGTGATGCATCTTAAGAGACTGGCCTCAGGGGGAGACCTTGGTCTCAGCCTCCCAGATTCCAGAACTAGAAGACAATACATTTCTGGTGTTTAAGCCCCCCAGTTTGTGATACTTTGTTACAGTAGCCCTGGTGGACCCTTAAGGGAGCTTTTAAGTCATAGCAGAGCACTCTAATAAAAGTGATGTATTTGCAAGGTGGTAGGGTGTGCTGTCCACGAGTAGCAGTGTCCTGGGAATGGGATGTGTCCACCTCATCAAGGGCCTTTGGGAGGTGAAGTCAGAAGGTCTGCAGCACCCAGGTCTTTGCTCCCACATGTTGTGCAGGAAACGAGCCCAAGCCAGCCCTCAGGATTGCTGAGGGGCTGGCCATGAGCGTGGATTGGGAAGACAGAACAGCTTCCTCCACTGAATTGAGTGGGCTTGGAAAAGACACAGGGAAGGCTGTAAACTTTAAGATGACAATGCCTAAGAAAACTAGAGAGCCACTCCTGATGGGAACAATTATGCAAGAAGAGGTTATTCAAGGTTTGTCGGAAACATTTCCATGTCATAGTGAGATGTGACAGCTGAGAACTGACTCTGGTCACAGAAACAGGGAACCTTTGGCAGGATAGCAGTTGACTATCCAAAAGTGGGCCCTGAAACAGCCATTCTAGCAAGAACTATGAAATGAAGGAGCAGTTCACTTCCCTCAACTGCTGTATCCCTAGGGAGGAGGTCCTGGCTTGGCTGTGGATGACAACTTGTCTGTGAGGTTAGCAGCCTCAGGTTTTGTATGCTTATGGCTTAGAGCTGGAGGATGGGGACCTGGGCTGTGGATGCATAGGGACTGAGAGGTGTGGTGAGGTGTCTCTTGGGAACAGATAGTAGAAGCCTTTGAATAACCTCAGAATGTGGCTCTCCTGCCCCAGGCTTTGGCCCAGTTCCCTCTCAAGTCTCTTGTGCTATGTAACTAATAACTATGTGACTTGTTATTCCTCACAGCTCTGTGAGTGGACTGTTGGCTGGCTTTCCTGCAGGCCTTGCCTGGACTCACACCTGTGGTTGTATCCAGGTGGCAGCTTGGCTGGGGCAGGATCCTCTGAGAGGTCCTTTTGCAGGTGACTGAGGGTGTGGCAGTGAGGGTCGGACCCTTCTGTCCACACAGTTGTCCATCCTGGACTCCTTCCCTGTGTGGTGGTCTCAGGGCTCCAAGAGGACCAGGGCAGGGACTACAAGACATCTTAAGGCCTAAGCTATGAAACCCTCACATAGAACTTTCACCTCAGTCTCTTTGAAAGGAAAGTCACAAAAGGCCAGCTGATTTCTGTTTGTTTTTATTTTTTCAGTGCTGGGGATCAAATCCAGGGCCTCACCCATGCTAGGCAAGCACTCTACCACTGAGCCACATCACAGCCTTCAAAAGGCCAGCTGAGACTCCAGGGATAGGGAAATAGAGACCACCTGTGGATAGGAGGAGCAGGAACATAGCATTGCAAAGGGGCATGGACAGAACTGAGCATCTTTGGGGCATTCCCAGCCCCTCATAGGATGGACGTGTAGGAGCTTTCTGTTGAAAATTCATTCCCCTGAATCACCTGAGGCTTCACTGACACATTGGTTACCTCTCCCTTAAATGCAGGTGGGAATGTTTAAGATCCACCCTGAGATTCCAGAAGCTCTTTCAACTGAAGCCAGAACCTTCATCTTATTCTGTTTTGAGCCTGACCCTCAAAAACGGGCCACTGCCACTGATCTACTCAGAGAGAGTTTCTTAAGGCAGGTGAACAAGGGCAAGAAGAACCGAATTGCTTTCAAGCCCTCAGGTGAGGCCTACCTGGACAGCTGGGGAGATGCCCTGGGCCTGGGGCTTCTCTGCTGCTTACAAAGAGTGCTAGCTCTCCATAGCATTGAGCTTCCATGTTGTGCCTATTTATGTGAAGAGTGGCAGGGATGGTGCTGTAGGTTTGAAGGTTGTCAAAGTCCATCTAGCAAACATCCCTCCATTTCCTGACAGGCACAGGGAGCCTGGAGGGTGACTGTGAGGTCCACTCCCCCAACTTCCTTAAAGTCTTTCTTTTGGGAATGTGTGGAGGTGGGAGATGAGAGGTACCTGTCTGGGGTTTGTGTCTCCCCTAAGTGTAGAGCCTGATGTTTCATCTTTGGAGCCTGGCCTGCCATCCTGGCCTTGATTAAAGGATGTGTTAGGGATGCTTGCCTGTGGTAGCTTTCCCACAGGCCTCCAAAGCCCAGTGACACCTTCTAGAATAGTAGCCTGTAACTAGCAGTGACAAAGAGCAGCCTGTGAAAAGGAAGCCATTTGCCATTTTCCCTCCAGGGTGGATGGAATCAGAAGGCATGGCAGAATGACTCTAAACTTGCTCCATAGAATGTGACCCTAGACCACCTGTTTATGATGAGGCCCATCTCAGACCTACATTTCTCACCATGGTCTCAGGTGACTCTTCACACCACCTAAGTCAGAGCTGTGCAGGCTTAGCAAGCCCCCAGGTGGGCACCTGGGTCTGAGAGGCTGCCAGAAGCTCAACTTCCACCTGGTCCTTCTCTGAGCCTCTCCATTCCCTGTCTGGCTGACCCCCACAGAAGGAACCCGCATTGTCACCAGTGCCCTGGCCCTGCCGTCACCAGGGGAACCTCTGGGCAGTAGCAGCAGCGAGCATGGCTCCATCTCCCCAGACTCTGATGCCCAGCCTGACACATTCTTTGAGAGGACACAAGTGCCCAAGCACCAGCTCAGTCACTTTCTCAGGTACTGCCCGTTTCCCTTGTCCCCCTGTTGTGGTCCTGTGAGGGGTGCTGGTGTTCCTCAGTGATGCAATACTTGCTGGGTCATAACCAGAGGGCTGGGAAGGGCTTTTGCTTTCCTGCAGGGCAGCAGAATGTCTGGGGACAAGCCAGGAGAGCACTTTGCTTACTCCCTGCCCTCTGTTCCACTGTCTTATTTCCTTCCTCCTCTGCACTTCCCTCTCCTGGCTCTTCTTCCCCTCATTTTCCCCTGTTTTCCCTCCCACATACCCCCTTATTTTCTCCCCCTTCCCTCTCTCAACTTGCCTTCACTTCTACTCCCCTTCTTTCCTCTCCCTTCCTCTGCTCCCCCCCCTCAACCCCACTTCTTTTCCCCCTTCTCCCCGTGAACTTGACTACTATGGGGGAAGCAAAGGGGAGAGGGGGACATGGCCTCCCTCCTCCTTCAGCCTTGTTCCCTGCAGCTTCCTCTTCTTGAGCCTGGGGACTGCAGTGTATTCCTCTTAGCCCCGCCCCCACAGCATATGGTGGTACACTTCCTGGTGATAGTGTTCCAGGACAAATACAGGATTGTCACATGTGTTTCGTCTGCAGCGTTCCAGACGAGAGCTCAGCCTCAGAAGACCGGAATGCACCTTCTTCCCCAGATGACAGGGACCAGGGCCTCTTTCTGCTGCGCAAGGACAGTGAGCGCCGTGCCATCTTGTACAAAATCCTTTGGGAAGAGCAGAACCAGGTGGTTTCTAACTTGCAGGAGTGTGTGACCCAGGTACTGGGAATGGCATCTGCTAATCTAATCCCATCCCACCTGGGTCCAAGTCCCTGGACAGATTTGAAGAGGAACCACTCCTCTCTGTAGCCTGGAACATTTGCATAGTTAGAGTGAGCACCATAAGTATTTCCTAACATCCTTCCCTTCCCCAACAAAACAAAAGAATATACAAAGAAAAAAACTCCGCTAAAATGTGAATTTGCAGATCACTGCAGTGCTTCTAGGCATTTGCAGGGTGGTGCTACCACCTGGTGGAGAAAGAGCCACATGGCAGCAGAAACACCAGGAAGCTGAAGGGCTTCCAGCCTCTGGCCTCTTATCATCTTGGTTTTGAGGCCTAGGGTGGAGTTAACCCCCAGCTGTAGGACATGGTAAAGCTGCCCTCAGAATCTGGGAGAACAGCCACTTTATGGAGAATGGTTATGGATGAAAAGATTTGAGTTTTAACTAGGACACAGCAGTAGTATACTGATCCCCCTATCCCCTATCTTTATTTTGGATGGGGAAGGTCATTTTAGGAAGAGGTCACTGCCACATTGTAAACTAGGCCTTTTGATGAGGGGTCAAACAGGAGGTAGAATCATTCAGTGGGACTTAATGGTGAGGATGTGTGCTTGCCAGAAGACCCCCCACCCCAGGAAGGATATAGAGGGAATTCTAAGAACAAAGGCTCCTTCTTCCCCAAGGGATTCCACAATTCTGTTAGCAAATGGGCAGTCTAGTTTCCCACAATACATTTTGAATTTTCTATCCCACTTCTCTTATTCAATGAAAATGATTCATATGTTTGTGTGTATGTGTGGTCAGAGCTCAGAGGAGTTGCATCTCTCAGTTGGTCATATCAAGCAAATAATCGGGATCTTGAGAGACTTCATTCGCTCCCCAGAGCACAGGGTGATGGCATCCACAATATCAAAGTTGAAGGTGGACCTGGATTTTGACAGCTCATCCATCAATCAGATTCACCTGGTACTGTTTGGATTTCAGGATGCTGTAAGTGTTCCATCTGACCCTGGAGAACATGATAATCACCATCTTCTCCCATAGCCCCCATTTCTTCTCATCTGTTTACACCTGAATGCTGAAATTTAGCAGCTCCTCCTAAACATTGAGGATGTAGGTAGGTATAGGAAATGTCACCTGAGTGAGTGGGCTGATTGCCTTTGGCCACAGAGAACATAAGAATACGATTTAGGAGCATATGGCATCTGGCAGCAAGTAGGTGTAGACTTTAAGCTTATGTGTCTGCCCAAACAGATATGAGTTCTTTCAGGCCCGAGACTATCTGGTTCATCTTCGTGTCCCCAACCCCCAGTGCAATCTGTCATTTCCTAGGTGTTCAATAAATGTTTGTTGAATAAACAATGAAGAGGTCCTGTGATGTCAATCCCATTGCTGTACACATCTTCTAGACTCCAACGTGACTTAGGGCAGCCTAGAGGAAGACTGGGTTCAGAAGAAATGTGTCAGACAAAGCTCCAAGGCAGCATTGCCAATACTCAGTCTCAGAGTAAAGGCAAATTAGAATTAGAACTTGACTTTCTTAAAGCACAACAGACTAGAAATCTGGATTTTTGTGATTTTTAGGTAAATAAAATTTTGAGGAACCACTTAATTAGGCCCCACTGGATGTTTGCAATGGATAACATCATCCGCAGAGCAGTGCAAGCTGCGATCACCATTCTCATCCCAGGTAAGTGCCCTCTGAGGTCAAGGTCAGCATCAGGCTTTAACAAAGACCAGAATTATTCTCTGCATTCAACAATCATTTTTCCCCCCTGTGGCTTTATACAATCCTGCAGTAAAGTGAATGCTGTCATAGATCCCATCAAAGTTGAACAGTCTACGATAAGAACATATGGTACTTACTTATGTGTCCCCTGAGTGTAATGAAAGTGACTACTTACAAATGCATCATGTAAAAAGGCAGGGATCTTCCAGTGCTGTGGTACCCATTTCAGTGTGTGTGCTCACAAATGCTTGCTAGATAGTTGAAAAGAAAACGGCTCCATTTCTTTTTCCTCTCTCTGAATTATCTTCTAGTAGCTATAGGAATTTGGGGTGTTTTCCCCCCCTGCTGGGGATCAAACCCAAGGCCCCATTCCTATCAAGCATGCCTTCTACCTGAGCTATTGAGCTATGCCCCCAGCCCATAATGTTAGAGCAGCTTCATGGCAAAGTCACTTCCTCTTCTGTGATTCTTCTTCCTGAAATGGGAGGCTTTAGAAGGGTTCTATGGACCTGGCCTCTTCCTCTCTTTACTCTGGGACTTTGCTGTTCTTCTTCTGTCTGCTCTCCTGAATGCTCTGTAGCCTATGCTCAACTGGCAGGAGGGGCATGTGAACCCCATGTTCCTGCTCTAAGCAAGTATTTGCCTGGTTGTATCTTTGTAAAGCCTCCTTGACTAACCTCCTTACATCTTTGTGTAAACTGGGGGGGGATCATCTTTATGGTGGAGGGAACCAAACAGAATTGTCTTCTCTCCTTTTATAAAAGCTAGCACACTCCCCTTGAGTAGCCTCATTTGGTGGCACAGTACGTGAGCTAAATGCCATGATAACCATGGTCTATGATTTCACAGAGCTCCGAGCTCACTTTGAGCCTACGTCTGAGACCGAAGGGGTAGATAAGGACACAGATGAAGTGGAAGACGACTATCCCTTAGCAGACCTGCCCGGAAGTGAAGCACATGTGGCATCGGGAGGGAGAAGACCTGGTGCAGCTGTTGCAGAGGAGGCCCAGCCCCACCAGCAGCACCTGAGCCTCCAGCTGAGCAAGCTCAGGCAGGAGAGCAACAGGTGATGACCTTCCAGGCCCTCAGTCTGGAATGAGTTGTTTGGGGCCTCACCCAGGTCTCAGGTCTTTACCATCAATGAACTGGGCAAGGTTTTATGTGCAGTTTCAGCTGAGGAACTAGAATGCCTTCCTTTAATGTTAGGAATCAGATAAGTACAGGGCCTTGCCACAGGCCATGAGGAACTTTGCCATACTAAAGACAGCAGTACCTTAACGCTTTTCTGTATCTTTACCAAGATGGGACTCCTGGCATGGCATATGGCCTGGCATGCTCAGTAGACATCTGTAGTAGCAGAGTTTGGGGGTGTTTGCACTTCATTATGGATGATGGACTCTGATCCCAAGGAAGTCTGCCCTCTCGTGTCTTCCTGGTAATTTGTCACGTTCCTCAGGCAGGTATCAATGAACTGCCTTCCCAACCAGGGTACCCTGGCATCATCATAATGTTCCTCCAATGCCCAGGTCTATTTTGTTTACTTCCTGGTATCCAACAGGTGTTTCATAAGCATTTGTTAAATGAACAAAATGATCCCTTTTTATTTTGAAGGTTCACATCAATCAAAATCAAAATGCAAAAATCAATGAGCTTTTAAAACAATTAGAATCTACAGCTATGGCAAACTGTTATTGGGAGAGAAGGTGCTGGATGTATATACTTTGGATGAAAAATTGTGCAAACCCCCAGGATATTTCAGATTTAATTTCTAGACATTTCTTTTAACAGACCTGAAATCTTAAGTAAATGGTAGTGGTGGCAAAATTTTAAGAAGATGACAAACATGAAATTGGTAGTAAAACTTAGTGTTCTTCAAAACTTTTTTTCCCAATTCAGTTATATGTGGGATCGAAGGTCATTCCTCTCCACTGTTCAGTCATGCCATTATTTTCTATTCTTAGTAGACTTAGGAATTGGTTAAACAGCATTCAGCACATTAATGTGAATGGCTAACTAACAAAGCGGCTCTTGGGCAGCCTGCCCATCCTGTGGCAAATGCCTTGACCATGCAGCAATTGGGCAGAGCTGTAGCAGGATGGTCTGTGATGTGACTGGGGATAACTAGTCTGTCCCAATGACAGGCCTGAAAACACTTTGCACTGAAGGGGCCCAGGCACGGGCTAAAATTGTCTCCTTCACTCTGGTAGGAAGAAGACTGCTTGACAAAGATGTAGGCAAGGCCAGGGGAAGGGGGTTGAAATTCCTCACTAGAAAAATTTCCTCCTTGCTGGGGCAGGAGTGTTTGCCTCTCCCCATGCCATTTTGTCACTGAATCATCCAGGGGTACCTGTGTTCTCATCTGTTTACACATTGTTGCAGTAACTTCTCAGAGTTAGACATCAATGATTAACTTTTACTAATCCAAATAAAGCTTAGTTCTATATCGCTAGTTCACCAGCATGGGTAATATATATAAAGAACACGCAGTTAAAACTAATCTCGTGTTTTAGGTACATAAGCAAACAAAAGAAGGTAAACATGGCTCCAGTCTACCAGTCCTGCTTCCCTTCTCCCAGGCATATGATCCAAGCTGGCATGGAAAGGACCCAGAAGCAAACTCTTTCTTGTCCCAGGGAGACCGTCCTGATGGGAAAAGCCCAGTTTCTGTGACTCTGGGTGAATTACTTAGTGACTCAGTGCCTCAATACTTCAGCTCTGAGTGGTATTAAGGCCTAAATGACCTAATCCACTAAGTGTTGTGCAGTCCTGGATTCTGCAGAGAGATTCAGTGTTACTAGTTCTGCCCTGTGGAACTCTGGCTCTCCTCAGCCAGCAGCTGTTCCCTTGCTTCAGCTCCCTCCAAAGAAGGAGGATAACCTATTTTCAGCTACTGTATCTTAGGGAGACAAGCTTAAGGAATCAGGTAATCCTTCTGGCTTAGTTGTACTGATCGACATCAGATTAACTTCTAGTTCATGATATACTTTGAGACAAAACTGTCTAAGTCTGGTTCAGGCTGCTATTACAAAATCCATCAACTGGTGGTTTACAAACAACAAATTTACTTATCCCAGTTCTGGAGGCTGAAGTCCAAGATGAAGGGCTAGCAACTTCATAGACGACTGGCTACTCACTGTATTATTGCATGGTGGGAGGGGCGAGGGAATCTCTGGGATCTTCTTCCAAAAGGGCCCACCCTTCTAAAATACCTTGGTGGCTAGGGTTTCAATAATATAAAATGTACCCACGCTCCAAGTGCTGGTCTTTGTTGTTAAATGAGAAAAGGTAGATTCCCCTGCATAAGCTGAAACCTGGTTAACAGAACTCTGAAGAAACAAATCTGCTACCCCTGAGCTGACTGAAAAAAAAAAATTTAAAGGCATAATCCCAACAATCTCTTAATTTTAAACAAATGTTTGAGTTGAATTGGATAGCACTGGGCTAATGATGCTTTTTTTTAAACCAGACTCTTGGAACACCTAGTCCAAAAAGAGAGAGAGTACCAGAATCTTCTACGGCAAACGCTAGAACAGAAAACTCAAGAATTATATCACCTTCAATTACAATTCAATTGTAATGGTGAGTCATTGTTCATGTAACTCTAACTAAGGTGTGTCAGACAGAAAGACAAACTAAAAATCTGCTGAGCTGGGCACGGTGGCGCACGCCTGTAATCCCAGAGGCTCAGGGGGCTAAGACAGGAGGATCACGAGTTCAAAGCAGCCTCAGCAACTCAATTCAGTGAGACTCTGTCTCTAAATATACAAAATAGGACTGAGGATGTGGCTTAGTGGCCTAGTGTCCCCGAGTTCAATCCCTGATTACCCACTTCCCCCTCAAAAAAAACCTGCCTAATATTTTAGCCAGCCTTGAAAAAAATTTGAGATTACCTTCTATTAAACCAGGACTCTAGTAGATTCTGGAATACTATTCAATAATAAAAAGGGAACTGCTGATACTTGCAGTATGCATTCCATTCACACAGTTCTCTGGAAAAGACAAGAGCTTCAGGGGCAAAAAACAAATCAGAATGGATAGGAGAGGGGATGGATTATGTGAGAACACATGAAAACTTTGTGGAGTAATGGAAATACCTGTATCTCACTGTATCTCAATTGTGGTAGTAGTTACATGACCGAGTTTGTCAAAAGTAAACCTAAAAAGGGTGGTTTACTGCCCAAATTATGTCAATATATCTGACTTTCTCCTTTTGTGGGCTATAGCTACCTCTTGGGGTGTGGAGCCGATGTAAAAATCTCAACACTACTACCTATTTCACCTGATTTTCAGTGTAGTTAGGTCTGTGCACCTGAAGAAAGGTCATTTTTTAAACAGGGAAATAAGCATTTAAAGTAAGACAACATCAGATTACAAACATAAGGTGCTGAGGTAAGGGTAATTCTCTCTGGAAAGTCAGTTTAAGAACTAGGAATTGTATAAAACATTAGAGCAGATCAATGACACAGGTTTAATACATCTTTTCATACCACATTTTATATCATGGATAGTTACTTTTTAAGAGTTTTATGGTTACATTACAATTAATATACAATGAAACAAATTTCTTAATTGTTACAGGTATGACAAAGAACCTAACACCCCCTCCCAGGCAGGGAACAGATAAAGAGCTTATAGACTGGCTACAACTGCAAGGAACAGATGCAAATACAATTGAAAAGGTAAATTTATAACCAAAAACTATTCCTATGATATTGTTAAAAGCTGCTTATTTCTTATGTATTTGATCTTTGTTTCAGATTGTTGAAGAAAATTATACACTTTCTGATATTCTTAACAATATCACTAAGGAAGACTTACGATGCCTTAGACTACGGTAAGAGCTTCAAAACGGCTTATTAGAACCTTTTCTAATAAGTAGGCAATAGTACTGATAACTTTCCCTCCTTGAAATTCATTCCCTTTCCAGTGTCTTTAAAAACATACTACCTCTTCTCCCTCCAAAATCCTGGCAGGTTTGGGCTGGGCATGAGGTACCAGTGCACTAGACCCAACCCCTCCCGTGGTCTTGTTCCCATGTCATTTAAAATAGCCACCTCTACACCAATCCATCAGCGCTCCTATGCACACTTCTAATACCAAGTCCTAGCAATGCTGGCACTCAAGGATTATATTCACACAGGAAGAGAATATTTTTTGGTTTTGTTCATTATCTAAATTAAAATGGGACTGCATTTTTAAGAGTAGATGGCCAATCTTAAAACAAAAACTAGAATTATCTTTTGCCATAAGTAGGCCTATCCTAGATTAGTTTTGGGGTTGTCAGTTGGAACTTTGCCTTTCTTATGGTAACTCCTTTGTTCCGCAGTGGTGGTGTCCTCTGTCGGCTGTGGCACGCAGTCTCCCAGTACAGAAGGCAGGCTCAGGAGTCCTCAGCGACAGAGGACTAGGCTTAATCACACTCAGCTAAGCCGGGAGGACACAGTGAGCACATACCCTCCTGCTTGTGGTTAAAGCTTCTTCTGTACATGTATACACAAATTCTGCTCAGTTTACACAAGAAAAAGATGTGTTCAATTAATTCAAGTTTGTCATTTTTTTGTGTCATTTTTTTAAACCTATTATTTATGAATGTTTTAAAGATTATATAGAATTGTATGTAATGTGAATAGTGAGCTTTAGTTTTGATATCCTAGAGTATTAGGAGAATCTCAGAAAAAGAGACTCAGCATTCTGTTATTTTAAATACAATGGTAGTTTAGGGTAAGCATTATTAACTAGTATAGAACCTAAATGTGATAGGACTGTAACCACTGATGTGTAAATGGAGAAAACTAGTTGTGTGGCCTTTCACCTGTTGCCTGGTTATAATAATAAAAAAAAATATGAAGAAATGATGGCTTTAGCTGTGCAATGCCAGAATTGCGTCTTCTCAGGGCATAGCCAAAACAGGTTGGCAGGGTTGGAACAGGTACACAAGGAAGTGTTCTTCCTTCTAGTGACCAAACAACTATTTGGGAGAAGATTAAACTCTATTAGACTTGTAGATCTGAAATAGGTAATACAATAATATAATAATCACAAAACACTCAAGCACTCAACATCTTCTAACACAACAATATACAAAACTGCATGCACTTACTCTCCCTTCAATTTAATTTACATGCTATTTATTAAAGTTGACAATGCTGTTCCTTATAGTTGCTGCAAACAGCCCATCATTACACACGTCTCCCATTAACTGACTGACTTAAACTTGATCCACTGGTTGGCACCACGCACTTCAAAGGGTGGATCACTGCTGTAGATGTGGTAGCCTAGTTCCTCCAAAGGTGGTTCTGGATCAGCTGTGGCAAACTGGGCAGCGTCCTCAATTTCTTTCCTTACTTCAACATCAATTTCCTAAACATTGGATTGCAGTGCAAGAAATTTTTAAATTAACAGCAGCTTGGGTAGCACCTAGAGTTCTACTTAAAACCCACTGCTCATGAAACTCTTCTAGTTTTAGAAGTACCAACAGTTGCTAATTTGAAATTTTTTAAATTATTTATCTCCACAGGAAGATAACAATCCAGGGACTGTACAAACTATGCTACCGGGGAAAAGTTGTAAAAAAAAAAAAGGCTTTTTGCCAATATGATCTATAATAATGCATACTTTCACTACTTAGTTTGCTGCCCACCCCACCTAATCTTAATAAAGAACAGCCCTATGAGATTTCAGAATTATTCCCTGTCATATCACTTTCCCAGGTTTGAACAAATCAAGACTCTATGGTTACCCAGAGGTGGCAATTTTTTGTGGGAGGGAGGAAAGAGAGCCACCTTTAAAGCCAGACTTAAACCACTAAGAGTGAATGTACCTTTAATTCTTCAACACTGGCAAGATTGCTGTTCACCATTCTATCCTTAAGAAGCATTATAGGGTCACTCTTACTTCTTACTTCCTGAATTTCTTCTCGTGTGCGGTAACTGTATGAGGAAAGAAACACAGTGATAGGTGTAAGAACAATTCCAGTAGGGCAGATAGCTAGGTGAAATCTGAGTACATTCCTGAGAGGAAGGGACACACCAACACTAATGTTACTATGAGAAGAGCAGAGTTATACTTCCAAAACACAAGAAAGCAGCCTGTAAGAGCTGCTTCTATCTTCTATAGCAAACAGTATGCTGAAACTCATAGGGCTTCTCTAGCATTCTCACAATGGGGGCCAAGTTCTGGTTTGCTTCTTTGACCTAAAAGAGTACAAAAGAAGTATCACCTGTCCCACTCCTTTAGGCTATTATATTTTACATGGGTTGGGGTATCAATGCCAATCACTTTGCCTTTCTCCCTTACAACCCCAAACAAAGCATGGCCAGCAATTACTTAAAGACACCAGGTTTTCTGCTTCTTGATTCTATGATATAGGAAAAAGATATATCTGAAATAACACTAAAAGCAAGTGTTCTATCTTTTTTAAAAAAAAAAAAAATCAAAGTAATTTGTACAATAGACTTTGACTTTTAATTGTGTTGAGTCTGTGACTGCAGAATTATATGAGATATCTACTAAGTGAAAAAGGAAAACTCACACCTTCCTAATGTAACCTAGCTCTTTTGATATTTCAACCTATTGAACACCTCCCTCCCAGCCAGAATATATCCAAATCCTGATTCTCTTCAGGTACAGTATGCCATGAGTGAATTTGGGATAATGCCTACATAAGCTAAATGCCTCCAAATACATTACTCTCCCATCAGACCTGTTTTATCTAACAATTTCCCTCTACAATTTAGTTATATGCTTTAAAAAAAAAAAAAACAAAACTTACTGCTTTTGCTAACATCCAGGGACTTTCTGAATGCTTTCTATATTGGAACCAATTTATTAGTAGTACTGCTTTCAGACTAAGACTCAAATAACTACTTAATGTCAACAAAAGTAATTTCACTAATCCAAGCCCATCCTCTTTGAAAACCACACCCAGATCTCCCATGACTATACCTGACTCCAGGGTCACTCATACTGTGTCCATGATAACGGTAAGTCTGCAGCTCCATCAGGATGGGACCCTAAAATGGGACCCATAAATTGTTAGGTAAGATAAGGGGACCAGGACCAGTAATGCCACAATTCACAGCCTCAAATAGAGACCCTTGCAGCATACAATATATTCTCATCCAATCTTCTATAAATCAGCTGTCAAGGATTTCTTATTATTTATGGCACATTTCATCATTTTTTTTTTAAGAAAGAGTGAGAGAGAGAGAGAGAGAGAGAGAGAGAGAGAGAGAATTTTTAATCTTTTATTTTTTAGTTCTCAGCGGACACAACATCTTTGTTGGTATGGGGTGCTGAGGATCGAACCCGGGCCGCACGCATGCCAGGCGAGCGCGCTACCGCTTGAGCCACATCCCCAGCCCTCATCCTCATTTTTAATAGGAACTTAAAGCCAGGTACAGTGTGGACTGTATAAGCTTAAGGCCAGCCTCAGTAACTTGGTCTCTGAGGGTATAGCTTAGGGGTACAGAACTTAAAGCAGTCTGCCAACAATTTGTTTTTAATCACTGAACATGTCATAGAGCCCATGGACATTAAGTAGATTTCCACTTGCACCTTAACAACTTTGCTCATTTTATGATGCAGTGTTTCTTACAGG